AAATAAATCATAGTTTAGGTCAATTACTTTTCATTCTATGATGCCCGGTGCACAATTATATATATAGTATTCTATGTACAATTTTGTGACAACCAATGATGCACTAATTTTTTTATAAGTGAATTTTTTCGCTGAGCAAGGTAAATGTAATCAAAATTCTTTGTTGTTAATCAATTTTCTTGTTAACTGGAGCCTTTGCTAACTGAGGTTCTAATGTAAATGCATTTTTAAGGGTGTCCCTAATTACCCCAGGGGGATGTCCCTTTTTACCCCGTCCAGCGGAAATGGCTGCCATTTTTTTTAATGAGATAGGCAAATTCTGTCAATTACGTTTTCAAGCTGACACCTGGGTGCAACTTTTATGTAAGTAAAATTTTTCAATACAGCAAATATTTTTTTTTGCTCCAGACCTTAGCAGAGGTACTTTTCCAAAATTGCACTTTTCACACTTTTCTTTAGCAATTTTTTAGAGATAGTAAATGTTCGATTTCTTGATTAGCTTTATACATAATAGATAGTAAAAATGTTGAAGTTTACGGCACTATTTTTAGTTTTGCAATATCTTGATTAGTTTAGGTGCTACAACATTTCTATGAAATGTGGGACGCGTGTCCCTATTTACCCCACCCATCCCTTTTTACCCCGTTTGACGGTATGTCTCAAAAGTTACCTATTACTTGAGGTTACCTGCCTACATCCAAAAACCTGGCCAAAAATTTTTTTTCATTAGACAGAGCTTATTTCCCAAACAGGATTAACTATTTTGTGACCCTTCTTTACATAGGTTTTCTTTAAAAATTAGCCAGAAATTCATTATTTGCAGAAGATGGTTGCCACAAACACTGAAGTGACAGGCAATGATTGTTCTAACATATTCTTTTGTCAAATTGAATTCAGTGAAATTATAATGCACACCATGGGCTGGTCCTTTCTTACCCCATGAAGGCTGCAATCCTGTCTTACCCCATTTGACTATATATATGTCTTGTAATACCTCAATACCTCATCTTGTGGAAATGGCCACCATTTTGCCTTTGATTGAGGTACTGTAGCAAGATGACTAGCTACATTCACACATCAAGGGTCTCTGCCTGCGGGCCCTAACATACAAGGTTGAGGAATAACAACATTCAAGATTTGTAGAGGGACACATTATGAATTTACATAANTGCCATTCGATAGCCCTCGCAAAGAGCTATAAAATGAGCCTAAACTTGTTTATGAAATGTTTCATCGTAAGAAGTTATTAACAAAAAACGCTCAAAACCGTCCCGAGTAGCCCCGGTTGACAGTAACCTAGATAATCCTGTCAAAAAATCTCTTGCAGGGCACTTTGCATACTTGTTCAGAGTTTCATGCCTGCTCATCTTCATAGCCTGAAATGGCTATAACTCTGAAGAACCGTTTCTCTTTCAATGTCGCACACATCTCCTGCTTTTCTTGCCATCCAAACTTTAATGTCCAGCTTCAGAGCTTGACTGGCTGCTCATCTCTTTGTAAAATATGGTAGTGCAATTTGATGACAAAAAAGTAGGCTTAGCATCAATGGAAGAAATGGGAGCAACTTCCTCACAGGGTTGAGTTTCTTTAGTCTCCTTAAACACCACCAAAGCAGCTGGGTCCCTGGAAAGTGCTTCTTGAATGGGGAACTCACAGACTGGACCAAGGATTAGGGTTTGCATACTAGTATCATCAGCTCCAAGCTCATCAGCAACCACAGGTGGAATACCCTTGTCATTTGAACAAGTGCTATAAATATCAGATGAATGTTGTTTTGGGCCATCAATCAAAGGTATCTGAGCATTAGCATGGACAAGCATTTTGTTGGAATTACTCAGACACAGATGCACGCCATCACAATTCACTTCAGCATCAGCAATACCGTAAAATGGGGTAACTTAGACTACTTTTTTTTAATGCCATTTTTTTACTAGCTAAATTAAATTTAAATTGAAACATGCAAAATACAGGTCTATACTCTAGCTTCACTCACCATAAATTGCTGGCTCCTGCCTCTCATAGTTTTTATGTAATTTAAAAAAAAGTGATGCTCTTTGTTAACCCAGCTTGTGGGGTATCTTAGACTGGGTGGTAAAATCAATTTTATTTTTTGGTAAAATAACTCCAAATAACTCCAGGTTTTGGTGCATTGTAGTAGAACTCTTCTAGTTACATATGCAAATGAAAAATTTGAGGAAAGTGTCATAGTTTGCAAATGGGGGCGCCGCCCCCGAATGGGGGAACTTAGACCACCTAATGTCAGCCGTGAAGGGGTAATATTGACCGGCTTGGAAATTAAGTTAAAATTACCATATATAAGACCCTGTAGAGTCTGAAACATAAAGAAAAAACATTAATAGGTGTATCAAACATGAAATATGTTATATATATATGGTAATTTTAAATCAATTTCCAAGCTGGTCTATGTTACCCCATCAGGGCTGACATTAGGTGGTCTAAGTTCCCCCGTTGGGAGGCTGCACCCCCATTTGCAAACTATGACACTTTCCTAAAATTTGTCATTTGCATACCGTCAACCAGGGCTACTCGGGACAGTTTTGAGCATTTTTTTGTTAATAACTGTTAATAACTTCTTAACTTCTTAATAACTTCATAAACAAGTTTAGGCTCATTTTATAGCTCTTTGCGAGGGCTATTGAATGGCATTGTCAAAAAAATTCCATATGCTATTCGTAAGGTGCCAGAAGCAAAAAAAGAGTGTCCCGAGTAGCCCCGTCGAACGGGGCTACTCGGGACACTGGGAATGAAACTTCATTTTAAAACACTTGAAGCATGCAGAGCATACTCTGTCTCTTATACACATCTAGATGTGTATAAGAGACAGGGCCTCACTCCCTCGCCCCTACCACTCAACATTATCGCAGCTCTGCTCAGGATACTGCAGCTCCCTGGTGTCCTATTCTGCCAGGATTGGACACTCTCCTAGCTCTGCTTGCCCAGAGTGCGGGGATCTCCTCCAGTCCATTCAGCACCTCTTTGCCTGCCCTGCCTTCCCCAAGTCTCTCAGCGTCTCCTCACTGTGGGACAGCCCCATGGAGGCAGTGGCTTTCCTGGCCACCCTCCCTGCCTTTGCCCATCTCCCTCCTCTTCCGGTGCTGGCTACCCCGCCCACCACCAGAGCCTCCCCCCCCCCTGGCGAGCATGATGGTCACAACAAACAACAACATCAACAGAGAGCACATTTTCTCGTCAACGAAAACGTGAAGTCACGGACGACAGACAGCTGGACAGATATGACGAGCACAATAGCGCTTTTTTCCATAAATGAGAAAATGCAATAAAAAAATAGGGGGGTGGGAGGGAAAATTGCAAAATTTACAAAAAAATGACCCTCCCACCCATAAAAATTAGAATTTAAAAAAAAAGCCATGGCAAATATCTAGATATGGTTTTTACGCATCAAATGATATGCATCTCAATGTTTAAGCTTGAAAATCCTGGGAGGAGAGGAGGAGATAGCTTTCTATGGTACCTATCCCTTTTGGCTGCTTTCTAAAATTTCATGTTTTCTTTTCCTTTTTTCTAATTGACTCAAACAAAAACATCCTATTTTTCTATTACATATGTGTACCAAGTTTCAAAGCAATCCATATGTAAATAACCAAGATAAAATTTGCATCAGACGCTCCCCTTAATGTTTGATTACAAGAGGCTTACACGGTGGTCATAGAATGGAAATACAATTACAGCAAGCGAGAGTACTAACAAAAATTTAATGACAAGAGTTCAATCAAGTGGAGCAAAGTTACAGTCTAATGATCCACACAACCTACGAAAGATGCGTTCTTATACTTTTCATCTTCAGTCATAGTTGGAGAATTGCGGTGACTTAAAACTAACAGAGCGGAAAAAATTGGCACGCTACAATAAGCAAATTCCGCCCATAAAGTTTCATGGCAATTTTATAATAAAGTTTCATGGCAATTTTATAATTCCATCTGAAATAATAACTCATTTAACCCTTAGATCTCAGATACATTAAAAGTTGTCAATACTATGCATAGCTAGTGACCAGTTACCAAGAAGACCCATCAGTTATGAAAGGGTTAAAATCAACATAGTATATTATGTATTTGATTGTTTACACATTTCTTAAAGTTTTTTTTTTTTACAAAATTACAAATCCCTTCTGGCTGCATTCAAACAAGTTATAGAAACATTTTGCTATGGCAACATGCAGCTCTGACTAGTCTTACTGGGATAGGATCCAGGTTATAGTGGCAAACCTATGATTTTTTAGAATCAGTTCATTTTTAATTTCCTCATCTACTCATAATTTTATTCAATTTATTATGTATGATAATGCTGGTATCTGAGATACTTTCATGGTCTACTTATAGGATTCAAAAATGAACTTGAGCCTTTAGGAAAAGTCTAAAAAGTTGCTGCTCTGCCATTGCCACTATGACTAGACTATGATCTAGGTAATATTGTAGTTGGAGAATCCTATTATAAAATATAAAGAATCCAGTTTCTATACTACTCAAATTGAATGAAAATTTTGTATAGTAGACAATATTGCCTGTCTTGCCTACTTGCAGTAAATTGTACCATTTTTATGGCACTCGTACTGTTAACTGTTATAAAAATTTTGAAAAACAATACATTTTTGCCTGCAATTTTTTTTAAATTGTCCATAAAATGACTACAATAACTTGTCATTTCTGGGAAATTTCTACTTGATATTCCACATTGCTTTGTTCATAGCTATGTTCTATTAAACATTATTTTAAAATGAAAAATTTGAGTACTTTGCTTCACCTTCACTTCAGTCTAAAAAGAGGATAAGCAAATAATTAAAAAGCTTAAGCTCCCATACCTGGTTTTTATTTCATTCATTACCTCAACAAAATTCCACCTGGATCCACCATGATTATTTTATTCACTATCTGAATTCAGTAAACCCTCAAACCTCAACTTGGGTCATGTTTCTCAAGCCTTCAAGTCTTCAACTTCAAGTAGGTAGCCTACCTACAATCTTACAAACCTCAAGGGCCAACTTGCCAAGGCACAAATACGGAATGTATGACATGTACAAACAAGGTACATCAGCCACTCACGATCCTCGATATAAACTTACTTCTCTTGCTGCGGCTCGTTGCTTTTGTTCGCACAGACTTCTTTTTAGAAGGAGAAACCATGGTCCGCTCTAGAGTGCGCCTGAGGTAGAGGCAAAGCCAGTGTCTCGCACATTGGTAAACGTAGCTAGAGAAAGAGCGGCCACATTTGATACAGCAACTAGTTCTTTACTTCAGTCAAACTTGCTGATATAGTAGATTAAATTGGATGGCAAATTTACAAAGGTAACACTTGTTTATAGTATTAATATATTTTTATCGTTACTGCGAATCTAAGACGATAAAATAGAAAACTTCGTAAACAGCACTAATCTCTCACGCACCAACCACACTCACTGAGGTCTAAACCATTACTGCCATCTGTTGGTAAACTTTAGCTGTCAAAGCTACGGCGAAGCCTCGAACCACTCTAGTTTGTCGTAGTTACAACAGAACGACAATGCCATCTAGTGAGTTATTAATGTAAAAACAGATGTCTAATAACACAGCGATCACATAATGCATGAGTAGTAGATTAATTTGGCTATTAATATGATTTTATGAAAATTTGTATAATTTAAGAGGGTGTTTATCAACGAATTACGTGATAATATATGAGATTCAAATAGAAAAATTTGATTGGCATGACGCCAATCGTGCTATCCTTTAAGCATATGCAAAATATTTAACAGATTTTCATATAAAAATGTGAGGTGCATGATAAACGAATTTCAATTAACTACTTAGACGTTATGAACGAAAGTCATACGCAATAACAACAATAACGTGTACTCTCAATGGAATACAAGCTGTGTGAAAGTTTCATCCGCAACATAATGTGTAATGTTGTGGGTGCAAACCAAAACAACATGTATGTTCAGCAATGAGTTTGAATAGAATTATTGTGCAAGTTGAATTTTCATTCGCAAATGGTTAAAAGTAATGATTATTGCAACGCATATATAAGGACTATCTGACACTTTTAATAACAGAAATTAGTAACTAGTTTTGGAATCATAACGAATTTTACGGAGTTTTGAAGCTACTAAATTAAAGGGTTTATTGGACTATAAAATTACGAACCGTATTAATTGATTAGATAACATGTGCTCCGGGTGAGCATGTAATATAAATATTGCCTATGTGAATGAAAAGCATTGCAATTGTAGAACAACTATACTACTCAAACCTATGGGCTTTGAGTTTGGCCGTCCATGTGCAAATATACTTGTTTCATGTAAGAACAGCCAGACGGAATGAAAGAGAGCTAAAGCAAAAACCCCTCTACTGGCTGCTGCTGCTGCTAGGAGATTGAGCGCTCTGGTGGTGGTGATGCCAGTGATGGTAATGTTTTGGTGTTGCGGCGGTTATAACACAGGGGAGGATCAGGGGGCGGTGGGAGTGCAAGAAGCAAAGCCGCGCCACTGCGTGCACATGTAGGGTACGCAGCTCATGGCTTCGACGAACAAGGGAGTAAGGCAAGCAGCCAGCTTATACAGTACAGCGAGGCAGCTACAAAACAAACAACTAGTCGTTTCAATGCTCACCGTTGGCCGGTGGTTTAGTGTTGCTGATTGCACTAATATTACCGACAACTAAATGCTAATATAGTTTCGGGCTAAACACAATATTTGGTGCATCTAAATATATTTTGATCAGCACTCGTACAAAGAAATGTTGTGATGAATGGGCAAAATAAGCAAACCCTAAGCCCTTATTATGGAATAGAACTTTTCGTGACTTGATTCCACAAAGTAACCGGCCTTTTGAACCTGATATTTCCATAACTGTCAATTGTTCCCTGATTGTTGTTTCCATAACTGATAATGATAGCCTGGTCCGGAAGGTTTTAGGTATTTCAAGACTGAACATATGCTCCTTATTGCTATATTTTCAGTGAGGGATGCTATTTGATTGTCCACTTAAATTATTGGTAATCATGATATATTATTGATATTATTAAAATTTCTTTTGACAAGCTGCGTAAGTAAGTTTATACATTATTGTATTGTTGCTTTTTCGTTAGCCGAACCCAAATCTCATGTTGTCTGAACCCACAAACTCTAATTGGCTGCATTAACAAACTCATACAGAGAATTTGGAATTTCTTCTATATCTGCAATTTATGTTTATAACCATCGACAGATAGTTTGTTAGAGTAAATAAGGGGTATAAAGAAAGCGTCAGTTTAATGATGCGACGCCTTACCCAATTAAAATTATTAAATGTACAAGCTAGGAAAAATTCCTTATAGACGCCTTCAAGCAATTCAGCGAAGAAGACCTTTAATTAAAACGACACAGGACAGAACCAAATTTACTGCAAGGCCCTTTGATCATAACTCAAGCGCTAAGAAATCTCGGTCATCACACATCATAGCGCGGCCTTCATCACTAATGTCGCCACCCTGGACGCGACGTCTCTGGCGCATCCCCACATGAGCGTCACCCCACAGCCGGAGTGTCCGTAGTTGTGTATCACCTTCAGAATAAACTTACGTCAGACTCATGTGAAACTATTCTGGCACATTATTCTTGAGCATTCCTATTACTAATGATTTGAATGTAAAATTTAATCAAATTTTGTCCTATAAGTATAAACATGTCAGTCCCATTTTGCCATCAAACGATTCATAACATATGTTTAATCCCGATAATCCGATTTCCTTTATCAATTATATTAGCGAATTAATGAAGCAAATAGTATTTTGGTTAAAATATGAGTTACGTACCATCTACACGTCATAATCATCTAATCGCTACTGCAACACAAACTAGGAAATGCTAGCTGTAGACCTAATACCGCGCGTGGTCATAGTTTTGCTCACCGGCACCGCGCGGCCGGAAGTCATCACAACGTCTTCCTCGAGCCGCACTCCCGCCTTCCTGTAGGGGCGCAGGCCCACGGCGCTGCCCAGCACCTCCGCGTCCTGGTCACGGACGTTATTAACAGATTCTCACATTCCCAAACACAATCGCAACGATAAGGTATTTCTTTATTTACCTTTATTGACAATTTACTTGCATTTTTTATCAAACTTCGTGTATTCACGGGTGCCAACTTAAATTAAAATCATATTACGACAATAAAAATTACATAAGTGCGGATTCTGTTTAATGCGAGCTATAACACATTATGAAAAACCTGTATGAAGTGTTAATATTTAATTGTAATGCAGTACCAGGCAGCCAAATTTTCTAGGCATCTATCAGGGTTGTGTGGAGTTCGAACCTTGAGCGAGGGATCAAGCTCACAGCATCGCTTCAAGATCTGCCGCGCGGTGTCGGCGTTCACAGTCAAGTCCCATTCGCCCTCGTCCAGCGTGCCTCCGAGCACCACGCAGTCTGTACTGCATTGACCAGACACTTTATTAGCCTACCGCATTCTCAACAATTAACAATTAGTCTTCAATAATGAAAATCTGCCACATTATTGGCCTTCATCATTCTCAAAAGTTACGATTGGTCTGCAATAATGAAAAGTAGGAAATTACGTTGGGGGACTAAGGGGTGGTATAGCAAGGGTTTGTACTTCTCATAACGAACATTATCGAATGCTTAGTATGGGCTATTGAAAGATAAAATGTGAGATAATTTGGATCCTCTTTAGAAGTGAATATTTAAATTCTCTTCTCACGAAAAAATACAGAACTATTAAAAATTCTTTGTAGATAGAATTGCTCTAAATTCTACTTCACTTCTAAAGATTCTCTATAGAAGTTAACATTTAAATTCTCTTCTCTTGACATTTAATGGAGCTGTAATTGATGGCTTCTGCAAACGTGTAACGAGTTTTGATCGTCTTTTTATTTATTTTTCTTTAAATTGCAGCTGTTATGTCTACTTTTATACTAAGTTACAGAATTTTCTGCAGAGCTCTTCCTTTTTGTAAATGATTAATTATCAATATTTCGATCTACAATTCAATATTTTTCTGTGAATTCCAAAACATCAACAGTGAATTGCACAACATCAGAACATCAGCGTGCCTACAGATCACTTCAGAATAGCGTTTCAGCGAAAGAGTGAAAGAATAGCAATATAATAGCTTAATATAATAGCTATAAATGCAGAGTTAAAGAACAGCTACAGTTAATAGATTGACTGAACTATAATTACTTGGGTATGATGTAGGCGTGAGTAGATTTACTTTCATCAATAAGGAAGGAAGTGACCCAAGGGGCGCGTACCCGCACGACCTGCCCTCTCACAGGGACCACCGAGAGGTCCGGCACCAGCACCCGGGCCCCGATCCCGCTGCAGTTCACAACAACATCCGCGTCAGGAGCGGCTTCGTCCAGAGATTTCAGGCGGCGCTGCGAAGGAAGTAATATTTCTAATTTAAAATTAATAATAATAATAATATTAATTAGAATAATTTCTAATTTAATTGACTATGCCATATCGCGAAAAGAAATATATTTGCATGTGTGAGATACGTAGACCTTATACTGAATCTTCCAGCCACCAATCCCAAGTGAATTAAAAAAATTGTGTAAATTACTTTAAAGTTGAAGAAAGTTAGGCACTGAATATTTATAACAATGATTCTAAGTTTCAGGTTTTCTCTTTTTATTTAGCTATTAAATTACTTACGTTTATTATCTTGCCACCCTTCTCTTCGACTATGGCTTTCAATTTCGGTAAAAATATAGACGGCTGGGCAACCCACGTAGTGAAGGAATATCCAAACCTTCAGAAGAAATAAATTAAAACATAAACAACATAACGATCTTATCGTTACAACATGACATATCGTTGCATAACAACATAACGATCTTATTCTCATATTAAAACATAACGATCTTATCGTACTTATGTTAATGGTAATGAGAGTGAACAATCGAACACAGATTATATTTTTCTAAGCGAAAAACAATTCAATGAGAATTGAAAACCCCATGAGAGTTCTTTCGAATTAATCAAAGACCTTGTCGTCAACGTTATGTCTCAACTAAGCCATGACAAATAAAAACTCACACATAGCAGGGTGAAATTTGTTGGCATTCACTCATCGAATATTCCAGAAATTGCGCCGGAATGTTACTCCAGGAAGGAATTTGTGAAGGACTATCAGAGAAAGTATGTCCAGGCACCATCCTCACTCCCCATTCCTCCCCACTCTGGAACCACTGGTGGAATTGGTCCCACGTCCCCTTCGCCCACTTGCTGTGAGGACAAAGAAAAACCTTGTCAGAAGTCATGTACTCGTATTTTGAAGCCTGCATAAAAGGCCTGCATGAAGCTTGCACGTACTTGGAACATCGACGAAATTAAGAGTCCACGTCACCGCCAGTGAGGTCGAGTGACTGAACTGATTCCTAAGCATTTCTTGGAGGAGGTTAGCGCCTGTAACTCCACTCACGAATGATATAAGGGCCTGCATTTCTTCTTGTCACTTTGCGGAAGGAAGAAAATTGTATAAACTGCTGTCCTTACAGTGCACGCTTTTTAGATAATGTTTCCCCGATTCGGAATAAATTTTGTTTACTTAGTGGCACGGCAATAACTCCATAATGAGCCTCTTGATTGGTATTTGCGAAAGAAAACTAGAGAAGCGAATGATGACGGCCAGTCTCTTGGATCTTTTGAGGGATTTCAGGACAATGGATGTAATATGCAAGCTGCAATTGCCAATTCCTGATGTGGCTCCTTCAAACGGCTTCTATGTTTGGACTGAGCGTGAGTGCAAAGACATTGCCAGCGGTCGGCCAAAGCATGTTGGCTCCGGCCAGCCGCTGGCTAGTCATCGGCAATCAGCCCCTTGCCAGTACAGAAGCCACGCGTATCTTCTTACAAGGGTAACGAGTTTGTGGGTTCAAACTGAACGAACCACGCAGGGATTTCATTTGGAAGTATTGAATATAGCACTGTGAACAGGACTCTAGAGGTAGTAAATAGCAATTGGCTGTGATTCAAATCGTGTTTCAGTGTTACTATAAGTGCATGACAGTATAATATGAAAGAATATTTTCCAAGCTGGATGGCTTGTAGCATTGAATACAAGACACAACGTTATTCCAGCCAATTCGATCTTCTCGACATTTAAAACAGTTCGAACTCATGTTCACTCAATTGTTAAACTAAGTAAAAACATAGATGGCATACTCATACTAACAGGATGTCTTTCTCGTTGCTGTTGCCGACGAGGAAAGGCTCCCAGAGACCAGCAGCGACATCACCTGGCCACACGGATGGAGGAAATATAAGATAACAATGAACAGCGTACATAAGACCTACTAACACCATCAACAAGATGATAGGCTATGTTAATTAAACACTGGAAAATCTGGTAGAAAAATTGTGTGTTGTGCATGATCAATCTTTTGCTTTTTATTGAATATGCTGCAAAAATAATTCCAGCTGGTATACATCACATTGGTTCATTTAGCATCGCATGCATAATGTTTCAAACTAATTTACTCATATACTGCTTAGAACTGCAATTCTTCTAAGCATTTCTACTGCTTAGAACTGCAATTAGTTCTAAGCAGTGTGTAAGTAATTTAACTTTGAAGCATTTTGTAAGGGATATTAAATGAACCAATGTAATATAATTGTATGAGCATATAAGTGCCAATAAATGCATGCAAACCTGTAGTGTCGGGGCTGAATGAATCACTGATGACAGTCACGCTGCAGTGAGGCAGCTGCTCGAGCACAGCGACGGCAGAGCTCAGCCCTGCCACTCCAGCACCGACCACCACGACGCGAGTAGGTCGCATGGTATTCAGTTTATTAAAACGCGACACTATCCTATAAACGTGTTCACTTCCAATAGCTAACAGCCAAAACAATTAGATCGATAACCTTTTGTGTCAAATTATATTATTCTAATGTATTCGATAGTGATAATCATGATCATGTACTAGTTTTCGTATCATCACAGACCTTTTTCCTGCAAACGGATAGGTAATTAAACACAAACCCTTTTCCTGATAATTTGCAGCAGCGTCATCTCCTGAAAAAAATGAAGAAATAATTGGAATGCGTCCTTCCATGCATGTAAGCGCAACTAAACTTCTGATTAAGCAAAAATTTAATCGCTTAAAGATAAAAAAATTTACAATTTCAATAGTAATATTTCAAAGACCTGTTCTATCATCCATCATCAATTAAAAAAATGCATGATTCAACACTAAATTATTAAAACCAAATACATATGACAGAACTTATCTTTTGTTTAATTTTGAGAGTTTGTTCGTGTGTTAGGGTTTGTGTTTCTGAAACCTGACACCGCTAATAGTGGTTCTAGTCGGGATGCTTATCGGGTCGGGGTATTACATGAAACTGAAATTTCATTCCTTGTATGAGAAAGGGAAAGGATTGAGTAAAAAATCACATTCAATTGATATGAACAAATATAATTTAAAATATGCTAAATGTTTTTTCATCTTTTCTATCTTTTATAAACAATGTAGGTTTGAAACGGTCTCCATTTAATTAGAATGCGTACATAAGCTCTATTATTAATGGGATTATGGCTCAAGGGGATGACGTGATTTGGGATAACAGAATTAAAAATTACTGGAATAATCAAGTTTGTTATCGGCGTTGCCAGGCTTAGCCGTTTTTAACATATATTGACTATAGGCAGGTAAAATAAAACAAAGAAATATCTGTTAAATAAATCAAGCAAGCTGAAACTATAGTCGTCTTATAGGCCAAGTTTTCGTTTAAAAACATGAAAGGATTCCTAAAGCCTTAAATATGGAGCACCGGCGCTTCATGAACTGATGAAAGAGTGGATTCGAAATGTTTCCAGAAAAAATATGTAGAATTTATTTTGCTACTGAAATTTCATTTATTTTTGGCTAACAGTTTTTCAACTGTGTAGCGCAGTCGGCACCGAAGTTTCTTCATGCACCAGAGTACACATTGCGATGTTACGAACCACTTATCCAGACGAAACAGAAAGACGCCCCGTGCCAAGCTCGCCCCTATAAAGACGTGAACCGGCCAGATTCTGACCAGAAACTGGCTCACAGAGCTGGGATGGAACCTGCACCTCTCTGCTCGAATCTTGGTACTCTGAACTGTAACCACTGGGCCACAATTAGTTTATGTAGAATTCGAAATGTTTCCAGAAAAAATATGTAGAATTTATTTTGCTACTGAAATCTTAGTAATTTTCTGATTGAGGCAATACTCTACCTTAATATTCGATCCCATGTCATGCACACGATTAAAATTACAGGTTTATATTATTTATAGGAAACTATGCGTGCAGTAAGATGAAAGAAATTAAGATTGATAATCACAATCGAAGGATGAACGATTTTAGATATATCAAATGTGATTTAGCTGTTTTATAAAATTTCATTTATTTGTGGCTAACAGTTTTTCAAGGGTTCGATGCCAACTGTATAGCGCAGTCTGCACCGAAGTTTCCTCATGCACCAGAGCACACATTGCGATGTCGTGAAGCACTTCTCCAGACGAAACAGAAAGAAGCCCCATGCAAAGCTCGCCCCTAAAGACGTGTACCGGCGAGCTCCTCAGTACAGTATACCTGCTGTAGGGAAGAAAAAACTCCTCTACTGGAAACCAATATTAGACCAAATAGTAATCTCATTTTTCAATAAAGTTAATTTTACTGGCCACACACCTTACATTTCCAAGTAGATTTCGCTCGACGAGTTAGAAAAAACGGCGGGTTTTATGGAGAACCGATAAAAATTTTCTTCATCGTTGTTCCGACGGAGTCTCAAATAAAGATATTTATCAGCTTCTGTTTATATTTCATTCCATCAGCAAGACTAGTCACAGGGGACCAGCACACCCCGTTTGCATTAATATGTTTAGAATAATAATTATAGCGGTTTCAACGATTAGCAGGCCGTAGGTCTGTCGCCGATTCGTATCATCAGAGCATTTTGCAGTCACGAACTCGCGACTCACGGCCCGGCCTCCTCGCCGATTCTGACCAGAAACTGGCGCACAGAGCTGGGATGGAACCAGGGAGGCTCATTATGAAATGCGCCTTACAGCAATGAGTTGGGAATAAATATTAATAAACTTTCACGTCAAAACAATATAAAAATCCTTCACTACTTGAACGGCAATATGTAGAAGTAATTTTCACGGTTTCTGTTTATGCAAAAAGTTCAAAGTTTATATACTTCATTATAGCAGGAGGCGTTTGCCAATAAAAAGTTGCAGTACCGATGAAAAATTCAAACGGCATTTCACTTGCGTCAAGTTGGGTCAACCTACCAAGTGAATGAATGCCAGAGGCCCAACTACGGCAAAGCTCAGCTAGGGTACGTGCGTCGTGGTAAATTTATGACAATGTAACAAGAAATTTATCAGAGATATCAGTTTATATTATCACCATATAGCTGATATGCGAGCATCTCTATGAACTACGTTGATGCCTGACCGATTTGAGACCATGTTCCATATGCGATGCGCTAGAAAATAGGAGAGAAACAGTGCAATACAAGATGAAACCAATCACAATTCACTGCTAATACGAACACAAACATCGCACTCTTCCCGTGAATGCAGCCGGCATACTGAGACATGCATTGCAAGCTTGCAATGCTTACTTGCTTAGTATTGAAATCTGATAAAGAAAGTTTTGTTATCTTTTTCCCACACGAGAACACGACCTACACGAGTGCTCCTGAAGGTTTGATCAAGGGTCGAGAATGCATGTGACTATAATACGAATGGTACGTTTGGGTCTGACTGCGCGACTTACTTGCAGTCACTATATTTATTTCGCACAGCCATAAACATTGGTAATAACATCTTTGACAAAATTTGTATGAGATAATTGCCAAGTGTTCATTTGTGGGCGTAAAAATACTATCGCCAATGATAATATGACGCAATTTCGTAAATTCACAGTGAACAACGATACAAGTGATCTATTGTGCACTGGGAAAAATGTTCTTTCATGGATTAGTGCTTAAATTTTAACTCGGGGATATTTGAAACGAAATATCTTAAATACTAAAATATTCACTGCACTATTCACCTGAGAATGTAGACTATGAAGTTGGAGCAGAGAGGTAGGGGTTCGAGACCCGCAGCTAGTTGGAAAAATTCTAGTCGCGCGACATCATTACGGTTTCTTCGTGGTTAAGAACAGAAGAATTAGAGCGGAGAGTCCTGAGTTCGAAGTCATGCTTGCTTATATAATTATGTGATGCCATGGATAGGTTAGAGGTCAAACATAGCTCAATCTTCAACGCTGACACTGCAGTTTTATTCCTATTATTTCACCTCAATGTAGTTGTTTGAGCCAGGAGCTCTGCGTGAGACCTAACGAGCGCTTAACTAATCATTTTCCTTTCCGACAAAATACCATGGCATTTAGAAAATTCTTCTCCTCTCCTAGAAGTATGCTAACGCATGCCTCAACACGTCGCAAGTCCCATGGGTCTTGCCATGGGACTATTATTCCCAGAACCCCTGACCCCGCAATGCGGACGCTGGGTCCCAGTTGTAGGTTAAATGGTTATTTAAGCAGAGTACCCCTAGCTTTTCTTCTCGGTCTCGAGCTTTCGAGCTGATAATAATAATAATAATAATAGCGATTTCAGCGTTTATTAGGCCGTAGGCCTAGGCCTGTCGCCGATTCTTATCATCGCAGAACATTCACAGCTTGATGTGGTCTCGAAAACACAACTCAGTGCTCCAATTCTGCTGTGCTCAACCGCCCGGCCTCCTTGCCGATTCTGACCAGAAACTGGCGCACAGCGCTGGGATCGAACACGCGCCTCTCTCCAATCTTGGTACTCTGAGCTTTTAACCACTGGGCCACCCTGCCGTAACCACGGGGCCGCCCTGGAGGTGGCCTAGTGAAGGGGTGGCATTGTGGTGTGTTGCATTATTTATACTAACGTCTCTTGAAAGCGACCAGCGGTTTTAGTATCTCTCCGTCTTTTGCTGTTCTCCTTTCCATAATTGGTTAATTGTATGCATAAGGAGTTGACAATTCAAGGTATGCTGGACAATTTGAGGTTATGAATAATTTATAAATTGAACATTTTTGATGCTCGTTAACTGGCAGTCGGTATTTAGACCAACTGATAATTCTTAATCTCTTGCATTAAAAATATTGATCTAACGTAATGCTAATGGAATGCACGTCTCCAGTATCGAATGGATGTGACATTTAGTTTCATATGAAATATTAATTATTTAAAAATTCTTGGGTTCATGGCAATCTTAAAAGCGTTTCAATACCGCGGCCGCCTGAACCCGTTACCTGATATAAATTATCGATACAACTTAAGTTCTTGTGAGGTTGGAGGTACCTTTGATAAACAAAGCAAGTATTCAGTGAGGAGTGCAGGTATTTCAGTGATGAGTTTAGAAGAATTGATCTTAAAAAGTCTTGACATCCTGCGTCGGATACCTTACCCGTCCTGAGCATCAGCCAATTGGAGAAATTTTCGCCAACTGCACTTCATCTGGCATTAAGAGTGAACTAATTGAACTCATTTAACTGATAAATAATCTAAATTTATTGCATAAAAATCGAAATCCAATTGAAACCGAGTGAGGCTCGCGAAATGCATCGATCCAGTTGCCAATCGGTGTGAACTTGAGTTTCGTAAAATAGGTTGTTTACTATGCTACTATCAGGTGAATGAAGGCATTGAATTGCGTATCAAAGTATTATTAGGAATAATAATAATAGTATCAATTTTTATAAATCAGTGATGAATATATTTTGTTATAGTGATTTTTCCATTTAGGTTTAAAGCTTTTCGTTTACAGCAATATTTTTATAAGTTTTCATTATTTCGGGTAATAATTCATTGCATGTTTAAAGGCTCATTCTTGCCCGCATGTTTAGAGACGATCTGCATGGGGTGGACAACAAACGGCCCAACGCAATTTTAAATAGCCAGTTTGTGAAATACATATGTGCAAACTCGGTGAACATTCATAAGCCCGACCTTGTTGCATGAATATACTAGAGTGATTTACACAATCCAGTTGCCAATCGGTGTGAACTTGAGTTTCGTAAAAAAAGGTTATTTACTATGCTACTATCAGGTGAATGAAGGCATTGAATTGCGTATCAACGTATTATTAGGAATAGTATCAATTTTTATAAATCATTGATGAATATATTTTGTTATAGTAATTTTTCCATTTAAATTTAAAGCTTTCCGTTTTCAGCAATATTTATATAAGTTTTCATTATTTCGGGTAATAATTCATTGCATGTTTAAAGGCTCATTCTTGCCCGCATGTTTAGAGACGATCTGCATGGGGTGGACAACAAACGGCCCAACGCAATTTTAAATAGCCAGTTTGTGAAATACATATGTGCAAACTCGGTGAACATTCATAAGCCCGACCTTGTTGCATGAATATACTAGAGTGATTTACACAACGAATACCTCGCCGCATACGAACCATGCGCACAATTGCAGTTGAGAATTGTGAAGCTCGCATCTATGCACTAAATGTTTCTTCTACGTTGCCGAGACGTGCAATGACAGCTAATTTTTACCACTGTTACCAGATTACATGAACTGGAAAAATTCCAAGAATTTCACGCGGCACACGCAGTACTAACTGCTGTCAAAGTGTCAAGTCAGTCTGAGTGCGTGCGCGGTAAGGGCACTGGCAGGGTGGCATTGTGATGTGTTGCATTGTTAATACAGTATTTCACTAATAAGGATATGAGTCTCCTTTTCAACCCAATTGTAAACAAACAAAGAATTGTGGTTTACGTTAAATACACAAAAGTTTCAATTGCATCAAATTAAACAAGAAGCACTCATTACTGCGGAGGCAAAACAAAAGGCTGGGTTTAGAATTATAACATATTGATCATAACATATTGATCTCGGCGCTGAAGTGTAGGCCTGATGTTGCCTGTCGCCGATTCTTTTCCTTTTAGTGCCTTGTTCACAGAAGATCTAATATCGTTTCATTTGACCGGATAAGCCCGACCTTGTTGCATGAATATACTAGAGTGATTTACACGAAGAATAGAGAAACGCAGTCCCCCAGCAGTATCGAAAGCGATTGCCGTGGATGAAAAAAGCGTACCTCGTCGCACACGAACCATCCGAACAAATGCAGTTGAGAATTGTACAAGCACACATTCATGCACTAAATGTTTCCTCTACGTTGCCGAGACGTGCAATGACAGCTAATTTTGATCAGATTTACATGAACAGGAAAAATCACAAGAATTTCACGCGGTACACGCAGTACTAACTAACTGCTGTCAAATCAGTCTGCGTGCGTGGCAAGTGGACAGGCAGGGTGGCATTGTGATGTATTGCAATGTTAATACAATATTTCACAATAGATTAATTTTTATAAGTGTTATGCGTGGTTCAGTTGATGTGAGAGATAGATTCATTATGAAATAAATAGAAAATGCATCATGCGTCTCAAATAAAAAATCGGCAGATGAAAAATTTCTTACCAAGTTTTCCAAAGCTGAATCCGAATAAGTATTTATTAATTATGACGAGATTTCGGGATTTGTTCTGATTTCACCCAGTAAGTGGGAAGTGGCTAATACTTAGCCTTCTCAAAATACTGAAAGAAACTAATAAAATTCGGAGAGCTTTTTTTAGCATAATTTGAATGCAAAAATTATATGTATATTGGTTTGCCTTAGGGGTTCACAAGTTGCTAAATTTATCCACGTTTACAGTTTCCTCGAAAACGGCAAAATTTGTCACGGAAGTGTCGGTATTGCTCTATCGACCAGAAAAATCACTACGAAAATGCACATTATAACACATCACTCCACATCAAGGAAAACTGAACTTCAAAATAATAAAAAAATCACCAAATCGACATTTCGCAAAACTCCCCACTAAACTCGCGGATTCAAGCGCAAAAAAAAAGAGACTATCGAGCAGTTTGCTCTACTCAAAAGCTCATATAATTCCCTTGATTCTAAACGGGATTTGTGACGATGCAGTCCTCGGCATATCGGTATCAATTAGTAATGTTTTTAATTTAATGCCAAACTTGTTCAGAATTGATTGAGTTTCAGCTGTTGATTTACTCAAATGATGCGTTTTTCCATTCTATTTAAACACTAACCGCTGCAAAATCTTTAATAATTTCTTCCGCGATGTTTCGATGTTAATTACTTCTGTTGTAGTCTGCCACTAGAGCTTTGGCACCTGCCACGTAGTTGTATGCTAAGTCACTGAGCCGCGTACATCTTCCACAGTCCACTCCACAGTGAGCACAGGCCACTGAGCTGCGTGCACATGCCTCTGAGCTGCGTGCACATGCAGTTGCTATCACGTGCCACTGAACAAACTTATTCTGAACCTATAATGAACTTCAACTTCTTCGTACAATCTCACCGCACTTCCCTCTCTCCGTCACATGGTCGCCTCACTTCCCTCTCTCCGTCACAGTCGTAACACTTCCCTCTCTCCGCCACAGTCGTAACACTTCCCTCTCTCCGCCACACTCTCCGTCACAGCCAATGGCCAGTTCTCAGATCTCCAGGAGACAAGCCAATAACATTACAAGAATAAGCTACAAGACAAATTTGGCAAATTGTTCAACGCCAATACTACTACTACTACTACACTATGACTTAGTAACAACGAAGCAATAGTGCACAAGCTAACTGATGGGCTAAGAATTATTGGACACGGAATTGAAATTTTCGCCTTAATATAGAAAACGCACAAAACCCATTCACAGATGTACCTCTTTAATGAGCGAATAATTTATCTCACACGCATTACCATCAATGCCGATAACCGAGCAAAAACCACTACCGGCCTTCATTAGAAACGAGATATTTTATGAACAAAACTGGACCACATCTTTCTGCGCTATCAAAACAGCTTCGTAGTCATCATGCGGTTATTGAACTTTATAAATCGCGCTTCTGTCAGTATTAGACGATTTTTAGGGACAAGCGGCGAGCGAGGAATGTGTAGTTTCTGCTGAGTAGCGACTTATGTAGCATTGACGGTAAGAGGAGCTGTTGGAGCATGGAAACAATCAGTAATGGCATATTCAGTTTTTTACTTGAGCGAAATGCAGGGCCAGCAGATTTAATGATTGAGAAGTAATGCTCTTCTATTGCTGCGTGTTCAGCTATTAGTGAACATTTGAAGATAAGAGTTGTCTCATACTAGAGTTATGAATTGTTGAAATTCGAGCTCTCAAAAAGGTACCACTAAAATTATCTAGACTAAATAATAATGAATACAGCAGACTATTTGAATTTAAATCGACAACTTACCTCAGTCTTTTACTCATTGGCAGACCCAGACCGGTAGTTTCTTCAAGCTTTGGTCGTCGTTCGGGTTGATCAGTATACCACAAATGGACACGCATAAGATAGAATAATAAACTAAGTACTGTGTGTAAGATGCATCTTAGCACAGCGACAAACTACCCTGATGGAAAGAACTAAGTTGTACGGATTTTTGAAGCCTCATGGCCTGTCATAACCAAGCAATATTAGAACGATGGAGCACGATTGATTCAGGTATAACTGTTGAAATTTATCAAATGTTCCGTTAAGTGACTCGGGTCGAGGGTGGTAAGGAATAAAATGAACTTGAATACATAAAAACGAGACCTATGACATTCTAATAATGAGAAAAGCGATAACATGAAATGCAAATTCGAAAGTTTAGTGGATATATTAAAGAGCTTTCAAAAATCAGCTCTACATAGGCCCGTGCGGCTACAGCCAACAATCACGAGGTTGAAATTTTAAAACTCTGGAAAACTGTGATTTTATTTACAGACAGCGGTATCACATAAATAAATGTTAAGGACCTACAATGCTGTTTGTACGGAAATAAGTTGAACTCTCTTCTGCGAATTACATTAATATTGCTAGACATGTCCGTACAGTTAAACATGACAGTATGACAGAAGAGGCTGAGGTAACCTCGAGTCTGAAATGTTTCGTAGATCTCCTATATATGTACATGAAAGCTTCCAAATAAAAAAAAAATCTATACATGAAATCTTCCCAAAATCACGTCTCGATATGACCCATCGTTGCATCGTATTACCGACATATGAAAATTAACAATTTATAGCTCAGCAACACCAGTAAACTCTTAGAGCTTAAAGCTATTAACCAAGATTTGTTTTTTACACTGCCGATACCGATACCGCGAAAAAGACCGTGGGTAATTTAAACGTTGTTCATATTCCTTTTTTCCAGATGAGTATGTCTATTGTTTTACTGAATAGAGCAAGCAACTCATGTCTGTCTTATTGGAATTTGAACAAGAGATTTTACGGAATTTCAACACGCAGAATAGAAGTTTCACACTAGAAGTTTTGCCAGGTGTTACGAACCAATATGTTCAAAGCTCTGTCGAAATAGCTGCAGGCGAATTTAGGTTTAGCAGTGGCAAAGTGAGCGGTGGTAAACAAGGACGCAAGCGGTTGCAGGTAAAATGAACGAAGGTTGACTTGGTTAGACTAGACTAGAGCATTCAAAGTAATACAAATGAAATTTTCGTTTATTTTATAAATTTGTACGTTGAGGAGAGCCTAGTTATGTTAGGTAAGTCTACTACACACAAAAATTTTTAGGTAGCCGAGCACTAACCAGTCATTAACACTGCACTTTTCAGTGACCGTGAGAAGTTCTCTCATGAACTATTTTTGACTAGAGAGGTTCATACAGAAGTCTACGAGCATTGGTGTTCAACGATGTTGGCACAGTTTGTCAAGGAGACCACGTCAGTCTCACTATGATGAAAACGCGTAGTCACGATCGATCACCAAACGCTCGAGAATGAACGCATCATTCGAGTAATTAGATAAATGGAAACTAGAGTCTCATTCTCTCACACGATTACTCATGAACTGATGAACTGGATCTCCTACACTTTGGGGTCGGGTGGGTCAGGAGCAGGAACACTGGTCTGAGCACCATCGTCCGGATTTGAGTTTCCCATGAGCTTCTGGGAGGTTTTCTCGTAGACTACAAACGTGATGGCTGTGGCGGGGACAACTCGCAGCAAGTTAGGTGCGAGGCCTCGGTAGAACCCCTTAGCTCCGTGATGCCTGCGAAATTGATAGACGAATTGAACTATTTAATACTGAAAAGGTTGTATAAATACTATGTAACATTGATGTGTCTATTAAATGTTGCTAAGCAGAATGAGAGTTCTATTTTGATAAAAAAATAAAAACAAAGATAATACTTCGAAAAAATTATAAAAAACGGACCAAACGGTTTCAATTTAAAATTAGATCAGCGTCTCGGGAAAACAACACACGATTGATGATCAATTTATGAACTGTCGGTATTTTTAATACGCTCATTTGTATGACACAGGTACATACAGAATTGATATGACATCTTAGGACTTGAAAGCTAAAATGAGAGCTCAGTAAGTCCAGTTCTCATCAATAACACAAATACAAGGGTATTTAAACACGCGAGTTCTTGAGACTATGAGCGTTGACCAAAGACAGCTCGAACAGCATAATGATTCACAAGACACGCTTATGGCCCGAGTCTCGAAGCAATTCCTTCCTCAACGACCGACCAATTTTTATTACTAATTGAAAGGCACTGGTGATTATTTACAATTTAATTATTTTGATTTGCAAGGCATTCATGTGTGAATTTTAGCTGTAACCAACACGTAAAGAAGAGAAGACTTTCAGAAATGAGTTGGATTAAGAAATTAGTAAATCAATATTATTTAAACAAGTTGAGAGGTGTTAACGCAACATGTTGCGCCACTCACCGAACCGAGTAAAGCGTTGCCAGAGAAGGCTATACCCGATGGAAGCGCCTTTGGCGTTGCCTTAGAAGACTTCAGCTCTCGATAAACTTTCCAAAGCAAGATTGTCTGAATGGGATTAAAATGGTTCCCAAATAATCATGGCTCGAAGGGGACAATAGTGTCAAGGACACTAAAGGAATCGTTATGGTTCAGATTCAGGGATGTAGAACACATTGATTGCGGACATTTCTCCGAAATAGTTAGAACTTTACTATCGAAAAATTCCAATCGTATTTGTTCCACCAACAGTAACGCAGCTGGGAAAGAATAGGCAAACAAAGAAGTGACAGTGTATTCTAATGCGGCGATTAAGGACGTCCTGAGAGGATTGGCTATAGAAAGATTAACATCGAACCGTGGCGAGGAAGGAGATGCCTGGAGATTACTCAACAAAAACCTGAGTTAAATCCATTGGATGCATTTCGACGTAAAACAATAATGCATTTTATTTAGAAATTGGCGTCGTTTCAACATTTCAAACAAACGCAGACACTCATGGGACGTTAATACCAGCCTCATTCATATCAAAATTGTACGTAATACGAATTCAGATAGCAAGAATTCGAAAAACATATACCATGAAAGAATTACAGCAAGGAATTGTTGATCAAGCTGCATAGTAATGCACACAAGATATTCAAAGGAGGAGGAAATTTTTTTAGAGTATTCTACGTTTTAATGTATTCATCTTGCAATAAAGAAGAAAATTATATAAAGTTGACGTCAATTGAATTATAACGCTTTACCATGAGTAAATCAGTATCATTCATGATCTCATAAGTTTCTTACATTTGGTCACTGGAAATTCTGTTCATGAAATTAAAACAGATCAGGCAATATTTGCTCTGTAGCAAATGGTTAATCGCAGAAAGGTGTCATATCGGAAGACATTTCATTGATGTGATAAATCTATACCTCTGTCAATTTCAACTTGCTTCTTTAGGTCAGCAAGTAAAGAGATAAACGTACTTCGCAAAATTTATATTCAACATTTTTCGAAAAATTATTGAATTCTACACGATGGAGGAATTACATTCCTTGGGAGCAAGAAATGATACTTAACTTCGAAGATTATGTTTTCGATACACATAATTCCAAACTTAATATGTTCCAATGAATTATTAACTTAGTATTAAAATCTCAATTCCTTAATATTACGGCCTTAAATTACCTATTAAGCCTAGTCTTCCAAAGCCAATAATAGTGGCGAAGTCGGTGCCTAGCAGAGGGAATTTTAGCTGTGCATCGTTCATCAGTCATTGCTCCCACAATTCACTCCAAGTCAGAAAAGCTTTTATTTATGAAATATATTCCAAGATCTGGCCAAATAATAAATAGCTGTTCGATACTCTATTGTACTATTATTGGAGGGGGTTTGATACTTTGTTGTACTACATTTAGAAACATTTTACGACATACTAGTTTGCGTGAGACAAAACACGAAGAAACGATTACAAATAAAGTAGGAACATTATAAGGAAAAATAAGGGATGGTGAGTTGCCGCAAGAAGGAAGAATATCAAAAAGTTGTAACGATAATAAATGCTACCACATCACACGTGCACCAAATCGTCCCAGGGTTTGTTTCTCGTTTCCAGTTGACTTGGGAAAAGTGTAACCAAGCTGTGCACGCTCGCTGTTCTTTAATTGTTGTAAAAATGTGGTTACGATGAAATCATTCACGATTCCTCATTGAAAAAACAATATTTTATACAGAGAAAGACAGGAACAAAATTTTGTAGCAACATGTCACGTTAACAGATAATTTTGAAATTAACAAGATTACAGTTTGTCTCAACAACATAAATTTGCGAAAGTCTCACTGAAAATTTTTCTGAAAATCGGCCATGGACGCCGACCGAAAAATAAACATTAGACAGCCTTCATTTTTCGATAACTAAATGGCAGTGCTAATCTCGCTTCTTCTGTCTTCTGAAACGTTATTTGAATGGAATTGATACGTTTGCATGCACAGTATTTTCTACATAAAAAACTCAATGACATTTATTTATACGTCTCTGGACACATTTTTTCACGTATGTTTAGGTATGTTTATGAATATAAAGCTTATTAGTCAGAAGGAACAATATTCTCATAGATGATGAAGACGAGACAAATGTTGGGCACGACATGGAGCAGATAAGGCGTCAAGCCAGCATAGAAGCCGCGCAGGCCTTCGCACCTCCACGTGAAGCGGATGCAGGCCCTCAGGTTAGCGTAGTCGGCGTGCTGGTCCTGCATGCGGGCACGCAGCACCTGGTACGGGTACGTCGTCACCGCAGCGAACAGCTTCGACAGCGCCGCGCACGCCAGGTACTCGCTCGTGTCCTGCAACGTAGGGGCCTTAGTCTGGCTTACTGTTATTGGGACTGTGCCGCAACACATGCTACGAGTACGTCGGGCCCGCAACACTTAAATTTATGCCGGGCCTGCAACACTTAAATTTATGCCACGCCTGCAACACTTACAACTAAATGTACGTCGGGGCCGCAATACCTGATACTGGTACGTCAGGGCAGCAGAAAACAGCACAGAAAGACACTCGCTAGCATGCGTCAGGTTTGATATTTAATTTCAGCATTTACAAATCAAACCCCTAAAAGCTAAAAAATTTCGTAGAGATTGTGCATCTACTAATACTTATAGAAAGGATATTCTTTTCATTGCAATCAAGTGCCGCACTAGCACCATCCCAACCACCAGAAGAATCGCATCAATACAAACTGTAGCGATTTTCTTGTGGTGTTCATATTCGGAAAATGTCATTCAAGCCGCACATAAAACCACCGCAATTTGTCAATCTTAAGTCACACTATATATGAATACTTGAATATCTATTCCAAGAAGCGTCTTCGAACATTTATCAAGTCTCTTTAACATAAAAAAGGTAATAAGTAAGCGTAAGTATACTTGACTTAGTATCCTGGCATTCACCTTGAAAGCGAACAGCAATTAATTCAAGGCAAGGTGAAATCGATTCTAATATCAATCATTTCAGAAAGTCATGGTAAGATTTGCACGTCACACGACTAACCAGCTTTGCTGAGGGAGGCCTGTTGAAGTGGGAGTTGTATGTAAGCTTGAGCTCTTCGTAGGCCATGAACTGCAGAGCGCCGTGACTTACGCCGAATAGACCGGGCACCAAACCCTGAACACAGACCTCACATTAACTTCATTTTGCACAGACTTTATTAATTTCCATAAGATAAATTTTTCTATCAAGAACCATTCATAAATTATGTAAAAATAGGTAAGGGGGAAAAGCGAGTCATAGGCTGAACATCGCAGTGCATAGGAATTTCCTGATGTGTTAGGGAAAAGCGAAAGAGCTAAGCTGAACATTTACCTTGTATAGTCCCTTAATGCCTTCCATTCTGTAGGTTTTGCTGAGCGCATCAACCATGCCATTGTAACGAAGACTGTTGCTGGTGCTGCCAACATTGTCGTACTGCAGACACAACCTGCATGTACAATCTAAATTATTAACTAAATTATGTCACCGCTTAGCGAAAATAACACACGAAATAAAGTTCATACGTAGCTCAACAAGAATGTCAATGCAATGACAGAAAGCAATGACGTCATAGCAAAGCTCTGACGTTAGTATGTGCGCAATTCTCGGAAGAAGGTACGCAGAAGCTTGCCTGGTTTTGACGACCCAGATGGGATTGGTGAGCAAGAGAGTTGCCACGCCAGCCTGAGCAGCTGCGAGCATATGCATGCCGGGTCCCAGCTGAACCCTGCCATGACGGGACTGGTACTCGCTCTTCACCATGTTGTAGCTGCACGTAAGTTACGAGGTGAAAATACAAGAAACATTCTTAAAACAAGCACAGTTACGTCAGACTGATACTCGCTCTTCACCATGTTGTAGCTGCACGTAAGTTACGTGGTAAGGATACAAGAAACGTTCTTAAAACAAGCACAGTTACGTCAGACTAGTACTCGCTCTTAACCATGTTGTAGCTGCACGTAAGTTACGAGGTGGGAATACAAGAAACATTCTTAAAGCAAGCACAGTTACGTCAGACTAGTACTCGCTCTTCACTATATTGTAGCTGCACGCAAGTTACGAGGTGAGAATACAAGAAACGTTCTTAAAACAAGCACAGTTACGTCATAGTCCTTCGGAGCAGCCATTCTTGCACAAAATGCTTATCAATGAACGCGACGGCAAAATATCAAGATAATTACATAAGCCCACAGAGTCAGAAACACTAATGAAGGTTATGAAAGCAACGAAGAGAAGAGCCCTATTTTGTCAAAACAATTGTGGTGGGCATTTAAAAGATATTATATTTAAAAACTAGGATACAATATTACCATAATAATGTTCTTTCAAATAAAACAAGTTTCAACTTCATAACGTTCTTAGTTTTTTATTTATTAACAAATTAAAAGGGTTACTTAATCCTGAAACACCCTGTACATAACAATGGCGCGCCAGTTCCAAGAAAAGAAAAGCCTTCAGAGAATGAAGCGCTTTTTTATCGTACCATGGAAGTCCATGCGCTAGTCGAAATAACCTTGTTCCGTTTGGGGCCTCTAATGGTTGACCATGAACAGTTCCCATGAAATAATGGTTGGCCATGAACAGTTCCGTCACACTTGCTACTCAGCCCATTGCCTCCAGCGGTCAATAATATAATCAGAAACAAGAGCATGTAAACATGGAAGCTGCTGCATATTCGTTCTTGTACAAATTCTATGGACGGCATGGGAATGTTTATAACACATTTATTCTCAGATAAACCTTTCCTTTCATTTCGCAATAAACGTGTGAAAAATAAGGTAATCCGACAACTCAGGACGCTCGCATATACATATTTATAAATTTTGTACGTCTTCTATGATAAGTACAACGCAATCGAGGCAGTTTCTGGCAACGGCACAAAAGCATTCATCCGCACATGGAACTAGTCGCGAAGGTCACACTTAGAACTTGAGGCCATGAGACAATGTAGACAAGACAGCCTCGATCAGCTTGTCAATAATGTACACGTTGAAACAATATACAAAAGGTCATTGAAAATGGATCAGAGAAGTGTAACTGTGAAGAACAGGTTCTAGTTTATCTATTTGTTTTCCGAACGTATAAGAACATTTGGAAGACACGTACAAGTTTCCTAAAGCTGAAAGCTGCACGAGCGCGCTAGGGAGTAAAGGCATCACGCAAGGCTGGATTGCATTGCGTCAGAGAAGAAAAGCAACGCTCTGGCATTCAACTAAATTCAGTCGTTAGCGTAATGAAAAGAATAGTTTAGAGAATACGAAAAATAAGATGAAGTATATGGCATTTCAAATGAAAAGTAGAAAGAAATAAAAATAAACTTTTGGGTTTAGTTCAGTGCCTGGCGCTGTCAGTCGTAGAGACGCGAGCAGGGGAAAAATATTGTGATTTCCTTGTAATGGCTTCGTGTTTTAAAGATCATTGGGCATTGAACGAATTGCTGCAATAGTTAAAGATTAAAATTCGATGAAGAAATCTTCAGTGAATTAGATTAATCAGAACGCAACTCATAACGTGGCTTGGGCCGCTTGGCAAGCCTACAAATCATCGCCGAATCCAGGCGTCATAGGATCTTCTCACTTGCAACAATCGGCCGTTTGTTGCATTAATGCATCTTGAGTAATTGGTTATGGTACTTGACAGACTGTACTCTAAGTCTGCATATTGCTATACCATGCACTCTAAAACCAATATCGTAACTAGCAACAGAGTCACTTGAGAACTTGAGTAACGAGTTAATTGAGGGCAAATGTAGAAAGCTTTATCGGAATATTTCCTCAAAGAATAAGTAAGCCCATGCCAAAAAATATCTCCGTCTAGATTGATTGCACTGAAACGTAAACGGCTGGAAAAATATTGACAAAAATTTTGGAGGGCGAATACATGAGCGCGAGTTGGAGAATTTATAGGGAACAAGAAAAATCCAGGAAAATGAAATGTTCCTCGAAAGTGTGCTGGGACTCGCGGCGGTCAGTACCAAGAATTACTGCGCGCCGAGACGTGGACAATAACCGTGTTTTTCTATAGCACCAGCCCTCGCCACGCGTTACGCACGCGGGCAGCAGCTGATCGTACGCATGCAGACAGCGGCTGATCCCTTCAGTTCATGCGCGCTGAGCTTTAAACTGAAGCAAGGATATTGCATCAGCTTTACGACAACAGCAAGCCAAGAATAGCGCTCAATAGTGCGCATTCTTCTATTGCGTCTATCGCAACTATAAACATTAATCATTCATGTATAATACAGGTCTTCGTGTTGTCAGATTGTATTGAATAAACTTCTACGGCTATTAATTCAAGTAAATAATTAATTTTAGATCGATCAGGTAAAACGGACATATTTTAGCTCTCAGTAGCATAGGGGAAATCAATTAACGGAAAAGTCATACTGTGACAGATGGAAGAAACACACGGTAAGTCAATGAACGTAAAACTAATCTTGAAAACGAAGCATCTTCAGACATTTACCACTATCTCAGGAAACGCACTGAGCCAGAGTTCCCATCTTCGAGCTCAGAAGAGATAAAAAGCAAATGCTAAGCAAATTAGTAATAAATTAAAATGAAAGACTACAAATTTAAATGAAGCGTGGCAGCAGGCACATCTTGACACTATATGAAGCGTGGCAGCAGGCACATCTTGACACTATATGAAGCGTGGCAGCAGGCACATCTTGACGCTAAATGAAGCGTGGCAACAGGCACATCTTGACGCTAAATGAAGCGTGGCAGCAGAAAATTCCTCAGATTAAAGCGTTAGGTTATAATGATATTCAATAGAAAGTACGCCAGGGGATATGAAACACAATGAAAAAAATACTATTAGATATTAAAATGTTTAGCAGTGAGTAGTTAGTACTTCGAGAGCGCAAGGTCCGTCTATTACATTCCTCCACAAACTGACATACTTAAGCCCTTTATCAGCAGACACCAGACAGATAAACAAACTGGGGACGCAGCGTATTCATATTCAATAAATAGATCGCACAACATAGCTAAAATTTATCTATCGTTATGGCGTTGCGGGGAAATCTTATTGTCCGGAAGACGAAAGAAATACATCACTAACGCAGTGAAAAATAGACTTTACTAAATATGCTCATTGAAGGAGTTACAGAGCTCATTTATTTTGACAAATTGCAGACGTTTTTACTTCCCGGATATTTTGGCCGAGGATAGAGTACAACCTGACGCGAGAACAGAAGGAAGTTTTAAGCAAGCACTTTTTGGCCCCAAATTGGCATGACGTACAACGCACGAACTCCAAATACAGGAGTACGTACAGCGTATAATGATGTCTGTAGATGCCCCGACTCGTTCCGAAGACATTCTGAAAACAGTGCCCATTTCCTGGAACAAAATTACGAGCAGCTCGCAGAAGCGGGTAAAATTAGGGAAGAGATTGTATGGCGGCCGATCCCTTCACTCCCATCGATGCTGTTCCATGCCGTTGAAGTGAAGAAAAAATGACAATGCCAGATGAACTGCACCCATACCATTGAACTACCGGTAATTCAAAGAGACCGAAAATACAGATCGAAAATAACAATTCTACAATAAGATTTATACAGTTTATGGAAGGTAGCTAGTAAAGTACCTTAGTAAATTAAAGAATCCACGAATCGATTGCATAGAGACAATTTTGTTGCTCCCATTAGAAATTAAGAAAAAGTTATTTTTTCCAAACTATCAATAATTAAAGAAATAAAATGAAAATATTCGCGTAAAAAATTGAACATATATGTCACACTATTTTGTCAGCTCCACATCTTTGGACTTTCGACCCGCGCTTGGCAGACGGATCACAAACAGTCATTGACGATAAATGCAAGCTCTACATAATAATTTATCAAGAAAATATCGTAAGGTCGTATACTGCTCACGAGTGACAGATAGGCTGTAGTTGACCTAGACAGACCAATTCTCGCCTCCATACCATATCATGAAAGCGTCACATGGCTCGTTTCTTCCGCACCAGTATCAGTATGTATATTATTACGCAGAACTCTCACAGACACGCCAGCGTCATCTACGACGAATTCTTCGTTTGTTCGATAAATAAATAACTGCAAAAGTTTAAGCGCGAAAAACATAAATTACGTGAAAAGTTTTAAAGAAATGAGGCGGGACCCGCAGAGAGGCCATTTATTTACCGCCATTTCCACCATTATACGTCACCGTGGTGTATAATGGCTAGAAAGCCATTGTCATGTTCGGAGAAAACGTTCGAGATGTGACAGTACCAATTTTGCCAAGTTTTTACTGGGTATTTCGATTCAGTACCTAATAGCACAACCATCTTATTTGTTGTTCGCTTAGTATAATATTCATCTTTGATATAACATTAAATTGTCTTTGGTCACTTGATTTTTTCTGTTCCTTTTTGCAATGAAACAAATAGTTGCTTAAAGAATGGAAGTAAAGTAAAGGAGAGTCAAGCATCTCTCAATGAACTTTGATTAAGCGACCTCACTTAAACAAATAACGCGCCCGTCCATGTTCCTCGATGTTTTCTTAGTTTGCTCATTTCAACCATTCCATAGTTCATTTCTCTGATCCTTCCTTTATACTTCACACTGTCACCGAGTGTTATGAGGAACATCCGTCGTAAATAAACTAATTTTTTGCACGTTTCAACTTCCACGAATAAAAATAGTAGAACAACTTCCAGCTTAAAATTAGCGGTTCCTGTCTTAAAATATAACAAGTAGGAGACAAGTTCATGATACCAGTTGTCACTGTAAATAGACCTTACAGAGCAACAGTTGAGACAATAACCCATGTGCAGTAATAGTAAATTTCAACATATACGGCGACTTCGATCGCTATTTAGTTAGATTCTTGGTAATTTGAATTTATTTGAAGGCATGCAATGCCAAACATTAAACTCCATTATCCTGTGATAACAGTTTTTTTATTTAAATATTTTCAGCGTCGAGAAAATTGAAATACGTTCACATGAACACCAGAGTCGGAGGACGTGCTAACCTTTGCATGATCACATAATAATGATATATTATTACTCGCATCATCATCAAACTCTATGACGACTATTTGGGATGATCGTTTGGAACACATTTGACCCGATCATTTGGAATACTTCTTACTGCTCCTAGGAAACAAGCTGATGCATATGAAGTGACGACACTGCGGCATTATTATATTAAATGCTGGGTACTAATATAAGGCTGGATAATATTAAAGGTATTATATAAAGGCACTGTACTGCCCATCGTGAGGGAAACTCATCTGCCGGCGCACGCATCAGCACGCTCGCACATTATTTATTAAATTCTTATGAAACTAAACGGGATTTTCTGGATAAATGAAGGCCACTAAGTTCGATAGCCACTGCAAGCTTTGCATCTTACATGGAGCAGCTGTCATCAACTCATCCATAATCTGGTGGGAACGTTCTATCTTTATTTCTTAAATTGAAATTAGTCATAACGGACTTATCCTCATGTGAAAGCTGATGAATTACGCATATAATTTGAAACGAGCACAATAATAATACAATAAGCGTAATTCAGAGTTACTCAAAATTAAAATATTTTACCTGAAAAGCGTTAACTGGCTGGAACTACCTTACAGGTCATGAGGTAGCATTACCTTTGTGCATTTTATTGCGAAGAAAAATTGCGTTAGAGCCAGCCAGCTGACAATGTTTTATTCAGTAACATTTTTGAAAATGGAACTGAACTCTGAATCTTTTTTCCGGGCAGGGTTTCGGACCGGTACGATTGCATGAGACGTAAGCTGCCCTCAGATACCGCGCGGGTTTCAGAAGACATGATTCTAATTAACGTTCATGTGCGCCGTGCGGCACGCATCCTAGCCCAGATAAAGTTTCAACTGCAAGTGTAGCGTACGAACATGACACCGGGGAGAGTTCATCGAGATGTGGGACGAACGATGAAAGCTTCCCTAGCAACGCGGACTAAAAATAGGCATGCAACAACGAGCAATTTCAGGATTTTCTACTTAGATACTCACTATTATTAATTATGTACCACTACGTCCTGGAGAAATACATTTCGTGGTACGTAAATATACCACTTCGGAGTCAACATGTTAAAGAAGTTAGTCGTTCAATGTATTCAATTCCACATGCTAGATATCCGCACGTCAGAAATAACCATTTAATGTGTTGTTTTCAAAGAGGATAGCCTCAAGTGGAAGGTAACGGGAAGCAGAAGGTTTATAATCGAATCAGCTAAGGAGTGCTACGTTCGATGAATGTTGGATAGAATTTCCAAACCTGGAACAGCTTGTGAGCAAATACTACTCCCCTTTAAATCTTCAAAAGCATAATTAAAATGTTTTAAATGCTTAACATGACCTTCATGCGCAGATACGGACTAGTCGGGTAGCAACGGCAGCCGCGCTACGCGTCTCCCTATTGGTGGCGGAGAAGGGTGCGCCGCTGACGTCATCGCCTGTGACCAATAGAGAGCGAGCTTTCCAAGGAGAATGTCAGCCCAGCATTCGCTTGCTGATGGCGCAGGTAACGGAGAACACGTGCAAGCAACAACAGGAAGATATTCGAACGGACTAATAATTACGAAAGAGAAGAGCACATAAGGAAGTTATTCACTAGTATCTGTTTTTCTGTGTACAGTCATCGTCGAAAATACAAAGTGGAGACGCCGAGCATACGAATTCCTTACCATTTATCGGCAATTTTTCCCGAAAAGATAGCAGAACACGAGATAAATTGCAGGAAGAGTCTCATTGACAATATTTTCAAGACACGTATAACATTTTCATAAGAGAAGCAAGTTTACAACATTGCCGAATTGCACTCGACAAACGTGTCAATATTGAAGTAATAGCGAAATGAATTTCCTTAACAAAATTCGAAATTCAATGTGCGCCGAACATCAGTTGCTGGGGGAGAAAAAATGAAAATAATGCGATAACTTCTGGGGCAAGCCCCTTTCATCAGCGGCCTTTACGGGAAGCTGATCTTGCAATATTTGGGCAGAGCAAGAAATACATGCTGCATAATGCGAGGCGAAAACAATTGATCGCCATTGACCATTTTGAACAAATTAGAAATGGGTTCAAGGTGGAGAAAGGCAGTGTTATGTAGCACCAAACGAATTCAAAGTAACATTTCGGTCGCACCTTCGCAAGCCACATGTCAGAACGCACCGGGAGAATTCAGGTCGAAACACGAGAAGGAAACTAATTTATACTTGGTTACATGCAATCATTCAATATAACGAATAAATATGAATAGCGGTATTTCATTACGCAAACTCGACCCATTGCAAAAGAAACAACCTATATCCTAGCCAAGACGGCATTAGTCTCATCAGATCTAAAACGTAAGAAACACTATTGCAAGCTCGTTAAAAAAGAAATCTCACAGCACTGAGATATTGTCTGCTTTGTATTCAGATTAACCACCTCCATGTGACGTTTTCAAGTCAGACGTCCGGGATCATTTCCACTTAGAATACAGTGGGGGGAAATAAATATTCGTACGTACACTTGAAAAATCGTATTTTAATGTATGTAAGTACACAAACTTAACAGGAAAAGTGATTTAAATTATGTATAGAGACGCATAGTATTCAAAAATTCTATCAAAAGAAATTAAATCTCAATGCAACAAAAAACAATGCAACATGTTCACTTTTCGGGTGAAAAAAGTATTCGTACAAAACAATAAATCCGCATTATTTTAATTTAATACTTGGTTAGCAGCATCTGCAAATCATTGGTCGAGACGTATAGAAATAGACTGGTATCTGTTGAGCTGAATAAAGGGTATTCAACCAAGTATTAAATTAAAATAATGCGGATTTATTGTTTTGTACGAATACTTTTTTCACCCGAAGAAGTTAACATGTTGCATTAATTTTTGTTGCTTTGAGATTTAATTTCTATTGATGCTATTTTTGAATACAATGCGTCTCTATACATAATATAAATCACTTCTCCTGTTCAGTTTGTGTACTTACATACATTAAAATACGATTTTTCAAGTGTACGAATATTTATTTCCCCCCACTGTAAATGCTGTTCACGATAACGTATACAATCAGGTGATGCTACAAGACACGGAACGACGCCTTTCTGGACGACTGGCTATGACAGCGTAAAGGAGATTTGCACAAATGTTCGACAGGTTTATAAAAAATAGAGATAACAGGGTTAATTATCGTGCTTCATAGCACAACGACCAAGAAATCCCACTATAATTCTAGAAGCTACCACAAGAACTAATTAAAACAAAGTATAACCATAAACAAGGCGATGAAAAAATCCTTACGATTGCAGGCAAAACCTCCTCATGAAATCAATACGTATGGTAATGTGCGAGCTTAGAGGCCAATGAGAGAACAATAGTTACAATATTCTTAATTGTCAAAATTCTGTTCAATGCAATATGTAAGGCTATTGTGGTATTCTCGATTCGTGACTTGTGTTCAAAAGACCTCGATTTATTAAAATTGAAATTTATTTAAAAGAACGTCCAGACTAAAAACTCTTTCGTTTACCGCCATGTGTTTGAGTGACACCAGTTTTTGAGGCACAAGAAGTCCTAAACCCACACAATCCTATACATAACCTATAGATACACATACAAGACAAAGCATGACACTTACAAGAGAAAATACAGTCCCCAGGCTGCACCAGCTCCCCAAAGGTTGGGTGTAACGCCCTTGTAGAAGCCTCTCACTCCCTCAGTCCTCCATATGGCTGAAGTGGCATGACCGAGCCCCGTGTAGTGGGGCCTTTGCACGGCAGCGGCTGCTGCTGCAGCTGATAGTCCCGCTGAGGATATGCGTCCAGTGTCGGGCACTGTCAAAAAACCGTAAAATGATCTATAAAATATTTGATTACTTCAAATTACTTACAACCTATACTGTAAATTAGGCACACATCTATAAACAGTTGGATGGTGATCACTGAGCACGGCTCATCAATGGTACTAGACGTATGACTTTAACCAAGTTAACCTAAGCAATTTTTTTTCCAGGGCCAACCTCAATCATTTGTCAAATCAAATAGAGCAATATTTCAGCAGCTACATCTCATAATAGCAGCAACCAAGATGATGATACCAGGCATATTATAAGGGAAAATGGGCAAGCATTTACTAGTTTTAATGTCAGCCTCATCATTTTTGAACATTACACGGATGTGAGAATATTTACCAACATTCAAACAAATAATATCCCTTCCTACTTCTGGTCAACTAACTCAGGACTTTGGGGCAAAGCTATTTATCAACTCATCACTACAGGGATATCTGGGGCCGTATCGTTGTTCTTTTGTTGAAGGGTTTTGGAACCCAGGGATACCTCCAGGGTTTTGGAACCCAGGGATACCTCCAGGGTTTTGGAACCGAGGGATACCTCCAGGGTTTTGAAACCCAGGGATACCTCCAGGGTTTTGAAACCCAGGGATACCTCCAGGGTTTTGAAACCCAGGGATACCTCCAGGGTTTTGAAGTCCAAGGATAAATGCACTCTAGCTTGCTAGAGTGCACATAGCACCTGATTACTGATTGATTTGTGGGTTTAATTGAAAAATTGTCAGTGATTGTCAGTGAAGACCTAGTAACCTATTTTGATTCTACAGCCCCTGGAGACTAATTTATATGAAATTATTCTAATATCTGATGGAAGGTACTGACTGGAACAGTCCCATTTTCCTCTTTGGTCACAATTTGACACAATATATCTTCCATTGGCCTGAGAGTGTGCTAAGAAGAGATCAACACAAGTTAATGGACAATAAACTTAAACATAAAAAATGTATTCTTTAAAAATCTAGTACATATCATTTGCCAAGGATTCATAGCTTATTGGCTTTTGACCATAACATTTTTCTTCAACAAGAATACTTATCTTCATACAGGATATTTCATTCCATCTGAGAGTAGTTATTTTAATAAAATTAATTAAGTTCATTGCATGTTTAGTTCATTAAGTTCATTTGGTTTATATATATTGCCTTATGTAATAGCAAAATTTCTTACTATAGGCTTCAACTCCTATTTTGTCCAATTTTTGGTCCAAAAAATAAATGCCTATCTGCTTTTCTCTTCAAACTTTGTCTATTATTTTTTGTAAGAGCCTCAAATTTACACCATTTCTAGGCTTTGTATTGACCAACAATAAAATTCCAACAATATGTATTGACCAACAATCAAAACTCAATGTATATAAACTTGAAAGCTCCAGAGGTTTGGGAAAAGGATGGGGTGATGGGCAAAAAATTCCAACAATATGTATTGACCAACAATCAAAATTCAATGTATACAAACTCAAAATCTCCAGAGGTTTGGGAAAAGGATGGGGTGATGGGCACGAAAAAATGGTTTTATAAGTTTATTGTTCAAGATATATTACTCATCTGATGATTCTGATCTTTAAAAGATTTAGACAGACCAGATTAGCTTGGAGACCTGTTGTCTTCAATTTTATGTGTAGTACTAGTAGCAAAACAAGTTTTACATCTCAAGAAAACTGAACTTATGCCTTATGTCTCACTAAATGCATTATGCATTCAAACTGACCAACTAAAATTCTATTTTTTTTTATGAAAATATTTCAGCTGAAATTTTAAAATTTCATTGAATACACATTTACAGATTCAAGATTCAAACTATAATATTGGGCCCAGTTAACCCATTAATGAGAAATAACACCCCTTGTGCAGGTAAGGTGGACTGTGGTACTACCAAATTGATTCATTGCAAAACAAGTAAAATGGCACTTTGTTAACCAAAATCTTTAAAAATCACCCATTTCTACCTGCCATCTTTGAAAAATTCTGCCTAATACACCCGATTGGCCTCCAAGACTCTAACAAAAGTCAACTTAGTAGTTAGTACTTACTGTACTTAGGTTGCACTAATAGTTTAAATGTTAAGATTGATTCATTTGATTGGATTCACATAATATACTTTTTACTCTTATCTTATACATATAATAAAAATATAAAAAAATCAATTGTACCATCATTAACCTAAATTCTAAAAGTTATAAGTAAAAAATTTTTGCCAAAAATAGTTTTTAGCCAAGTTTAGCTTAACAATTGACAGCTTTATAAGAATAAGTTACACTTTGAACTTCATTTTAAGACCTGTCTCCAGCTCTCCATTAAAATTCACAGGATAAATTAAATTCACACATGATAAATCCACATTAAAAGTTACAAGGGCCACTGAGCCTGAGGCTGACAAATGACAATTGATTGATAGACAGATTCTGTCATACTGAGATAGAGTCTACAATCTACAGATTGGGCTGGCCATTCAATACACATCACAAATTTAAGGTTAAGATGGCAGATGGCGATGGGTAATGGAAAACTAGAAAAGACTTAAAGACATCAATTTCATATTTTCAATCTAAAGATCATACTTAACCATCACGCTAACACTAACAGTAACACTTGAAAAAGTTGAAAGTGAAACCTGTAACAGTAAGGCTGTAGCCTATAGCTAACTCGTACCTACTCGGTTGCTGCTCGGCTGCCGTTGGATAGGAATTCGTTTCAGATATATGTTATCTCAACCGAATTAAACTGTGCTCAGTCAACGAACATAACTAACAAAATTAAAAAAAAATAACAATCAATTGACGTTTCTCACCTGCAAATCGCACTTTGAGGAGGTCGAGCGGGTGAAGGATAAGTGTGGATGCAACTCCTCCAGATACTCCAGCAAGTAGGTGTTCATATCTAACCCCGGCTAAGAAACCCCTTGGAACCCCATTATTGGCTTTGGAAGACTGCATTATACCGTATCATCTACTACCGTATACCCGAAATTGATATAAAGTAAAACTAAATAGTCTGTTGTTCATCATAAACAGTCACAGTCGAACAACTTCGCATGAAGAAAAAGGAACTTCGGAATAGCTAACCTCACCATCTGATTGCTGATCGAGAACTGATGGTGGCACGAGGTTTCGCATGTATTTGAACCTGACTGTGACTGAGAATGCAGTTCGTAGTTGCAAGAAACTTTTATGATCGTTGTTATTGTAGAAATGAAAGCTGTCATTAAATTTACTTAAACTATTATTAAATTAAATTCAGTGATTGATTTCTAACTATATTTTGAATTGATATTTTTTTCACGCTAGGAAAATACGAAGAATCCTGTGCGTTGAAGTTATACATTTAGGAAGTAGTATGTAATTTTTCGATGAAAACTAATGTGAATAGCGCATCCTTGTTCATATAAGATTTTCATAATCGGATTTGCCCACTCCAGTTAGTTCATGGTTTGAACTATATACTAGTTTAAACCACGGGTTAGTTTACCGCAAGTTCGTCTTTTATTTATCAATTTTACTTTTGATGCCTACTCAAATAAGTTGACTGTACGAATTGGTTACACATGTTACACATCCATCTGAAAACGTTTCGGAGACCAGCTCCATCGTCAGTTCGATAAATCTTGAAGACAAATACAGTCAGAAAATGAATGAAGTTTGGAGTCAAAAGATAAAAAACAACAGAAGTTAAAACCTAAATTTACAGGCAAAGGGCAGAATAATAAAAATTCGCCTATCTATTCACAATTTCTAATAGATAATAACTGTAGGCAGCATTTAAACTAGGCTTCTCTTTAAAAATATACAATGAAGCCTGGAGAAATGCTGAATTTTGTGGAGTTTTCTTCGCTTTTAAATTTCTAGTGGATCTGCGATGCAAGCAATCTAGTGACATTTTTACTTCCATCTGAATTTGCAGAAGTTGCCCGAGCCATTATCAATTATAATTTGAATTCAGCCATAATTGAATTCCCATACTTTACTCACATTCGAAATGAAACGTGTCCAAATAGTTTACTAAACTAAAGCACCAACCAAAGTTCCAACATTCGGAGTCGATCCATCCTGAAGGATTACCAGAATTCGAAACAAGAACCAACAACAGGGGCCTCGACTATATACTAAAAAACTGCGCTGCAACTTTTCCACTTGACATTTCTTCTCGCTTCGAATCACCGACATCTGGAACAGCCTTCCCGATTACATCGTTGGCGCTCCAAGTATGAACGCGTTCAAGAACAGACTAGATAAAGCTATGGAAAAATATTGTTCAGACTTGAAATGCCTAGCACCATATCGAACCCGGTAGAAGTCTAGTAGCTATTTCCAACTATCGTCAGTCCTGAAAATATCCGGTCAAATGACACGATTTTAGATCTTCCGTGAACAAGTCATGAAAAGTACAAGAATTGACGACAGGCCACATGAGGCCGACTCTTCAGCGCCGACATCCCTATGCTACATATGTTATTTCAGCTTGCAACTTCTTCCTAGAAATGGATCCGAATTTAAATTATTAAAATGCTTGTAAAACAAAGATTCGGTTCAAGCCAGAGTTTTTCTTTGCTAACGCAGATCACGCATGAAAGACACTCGATTAAATTTCATTTTTAGGACAAGGGAAATGTAACTGTATTCTATTCTGATTATTTTAGCAAGGTAAATAAAAATGCGTTTCGCCATAAATGTATTTCGGAGGTAAGATTAAATATGCTACCCAAGTCTATACAGACATGTCATTCTACCGTCAGCACAAAAGTCCTTGTTTTTACTTTAATCATCAAATTGAAGTATCCTCAAGAAAAAATACATCCCTTCTTTAAAAGTGGCAACAGCTGTTAACTCTTCAAGACAGCATCAAGTTTATTAACGAGAAATTGCCTGCAAATGTCCACGATTAGGACCTGTAGAGATAGTTTCATAATTCTTACACTCGCAAAGTTCTTCCCAAAAACTTCACTGCACCGAACGTTGTCTAAAAAGTTCACCAGACAAATACAATAATAAAATAATTAAGAAATTTAAGTCCATTAATATACTCTTCACGAAAATTTCGGGTCAGCGACATTGCAGTGGAATGTTTCTACAATTTTGAAATTTATAACAACCTAGTTATTCTCTAGTTACAGAAATTTGAAGGAAACTACGACTGTTGAACAAGAGATGCGCTCGCGACACCAAATGCATCGACGTTTTCAGACGAGTCTATAGGTGATACAATGAAAATTCAAAACCAATGAAAATGGACAAAGTGGATGGTACTATTTAAGCAGGAAAATTAACGAGGAAAAATTATTAACAATAAAAATTGAACAATCTCTTGTATAGTAAAGATTCCATTATGAAATAAATAGGGAGTTCTGGAAAGTCCTCGTATACCGTCCAGATGATGTGAAGGAATTACCAACTTTAACTTTTATTTGAAAGTTTAGACTATAGAAGAGAATAACTGATAGTTTCAAACGACGTGGCAGAAAATTAGTTATTATACGCTTTGACAGCGCGAAATTGTTCGAATCACAATATCTCACTTCACCTCAGAATTAGTTTTGTTTCGACGAAGTTTGTCAATGTTCGAATCAAAATATTTTACGATACCATTGACTGTTAAGTAATGCACCTAATTTAGAATTCGTAAGCCCCACAGTCAAACAAGAAAAATACATCAGCACGCTCAAGACATCGTGGTTCGAGCATCTGCAACTTGACCAAATGGAATTAAATTTTCTCTGTGGGAAAGACAAGCGCGCTCCGAACAGGACACGTTCGTATATGAGCCTAATCCGATAAAATTTATGCTATTTCATGTCATTCCTTTGCATTCAAACTACATTCAAATAAGATATTTACATATTATATTCAATGTACAGATCTGGACCTTAATGCAACTCGCAAAATCTTCCAGAAGACCTTGTGCGAGTATAACCACGAGCGTGTTATATACAGACTGCAAGTATAAACATGTAGAGAATGTAACAAATAATATTAATCCTACAGTGAGAATTATCTGAATTGACCTAAACAGAGTTTCGACACGCTAAACAATCTGCATGCTGACTACCTTCGTCGATAATGACCACCCAAGAATCCAAGTCGCACAATATTGTAATAAATGCACGTAAACTGTCCTGTCTCACGCATCTTCATGGATCTAATTCAGAAATAGTGAACTCAGGCAGTATTTAAAACGACGAATCTATCAGACGAGACGAAATAAATAACAAGTATAGGAGCGACGATTATAAGAGCCATCAGAAATGAACGCTAAAAAATAAGTTTGAAAGACAACTCAGGACAGAAGAAAAGTTGGCGCGTTATCCTGCTCTTGGCGCTGATGTTAAGTGACGGGTGATAAGATGAGAACTTCATTAGCAGTAACCATGAAGTTGGCAAGGCGCATTTATATGACAATTGATTGGAAGGTTGATACCGTCTGAATAAAATGTTCTCAATACAGATTATCTACGAAGCACGGCGATGAAGCGGACGAGGATGACATGAATGGTTTACTGAAATCTTCGTAGAAGCTGCGGAGTTGGTGAACGACGAGGAGAAGGCTCGGCAACAGCTACGCCACGTACGAGTAAACTTTCCTGCAACGAACCAGGGAATTTAATACGCTAGGTAAATGCAACAAATGAACAGGAAGTTAGTATGATACTCAGACATCACCATAAATGTAACAATGACTGCGCATGACGTGTATACAGACACTTAATTTATGTATCGTATAAAAATCGCGGACTTGGAATTAGAGGTAGAAATACTATAGCGAATCGGGGTTCGGGAGACATGTGTGATGACACTTAATGTAAAATTCAAGGCATCATCGTGAATAGCAGGCGGCACTCAATAAACAAGAATGAAGGAATGAATGAATAGCAGTCGGAACTCAATGTATAAGAATGAAGGAATTAATGAATAGCAATCGTCACTCAATATATAAGAAAGAAGGAATGGATGAATAGCAGCCGGCACTCAATAAATTAGAATGAACGAAATGAATGAATAACAGCCGGCACTTTTCGAATTTATTGCAAAGTCTCAATAAATTCAAAAGTATTAAGCACGGCAGTAAGAGAAGCAAGCGTGGAGCTTCAGCAACTAACCTGTCCTCGGGAGTTCTGGCGAGGTACTCGCGCTCGATGAGACTCTCTATTCTCTTCTTGATTAGCAGAGGCACGGGCACGAAGCGGGACTTGAGCAAGTCTGTTACTTCTGCCACTAGATTATTGTGCTGCACACAATTAAAGACGTTAGTACTCCATATATTACACTCGCTCCAACTCAAGGACGCTTCATTTATAACAACAATTACATTTACGGACACTTTACAAAATAAGGTCTATACTATACTTAAACAATGGATGAGAAGACCAAGGACGTTATTCATATTTGACTTTCTAGGTTAAAATCGTAGCGTGCCCAAAACAAACACATTGCTTTGGGCACCATTGCCCAATGGCAGTTTTCCAAAACAAACCATTGCTTTTGCTTTGGAACACCATCAGTATTGAAGCAGGATTTTTTTCATTCCTTTCAATGCCCTTTCAACAGTATGGAGAAAGGCGAAGCGAGTCCTACCTACCATTGGATTTGCCACTTAAAATTTCCAACTAGTGGTTCGCTGAATATTGAGATGATATATACGTTAAATGATACGTATATATAAATTTACCAAGATCACAATAAAGAATAAAGAAAGAGAATTTCAAACCCATCAAGATAATACCTAACCAAAGATTTACGAGAAAATATCTGAATAGAACATAAATTTCCCCGAATTGAAGCTTTGTGAGAGTGACGGACCATTCACTGATCGTGAAGTGGTTACCCTAGTCTCTGATAGTTACCCTAAGGCGTTATGCAATCAGTCCGAAGCAGTAACGACTGAATTAGCGGAAATCAACAATATCGTCTTACAAGTGCAAACAAATGATGTAGTTTAATCTGCTAAGCTGGTTATAAAACATTGCAGGGTATACCACGCGTGACGCTGACAAGTTCTGAATAATTGAGTTGGTTGCAAAGCATCACATTGATGCGGGTGACACAGTAAAGGCGACTCACAGTAATACGTCTCCTGGCTTTCATGATGCGCACGATGGCGGCCTCTATCTCGTGCTTCCTGTCCTCATCCACCTTCGTGCGCGTCTCCTTGCGTTCAGGCTCGCTCTCTCCCTTAGCTGCTACCGCTTGGATCTTTACTCTGCAAACGAACAAACGGTTCATAACATGATTGATAAATAGACACGTTTCCAAAAATGTGTTGCATCCTTCGTGAGTGAAGGCGTGGTAATTAATTTCAGTTTGAAATGAGGAAGAACACTGCATATTTTTGCCGGAGATTTTCTGGAGTGTAGAAAGCATGAGCAAGCATATCAAACAAGACAAGATATCATTTAGAGGCGAAATACAGACATAAAAAAAGGTAATGGTTTTTGGTGGAAGCGAAACGCATCAATTTTACAAGGGCTGAGGAACATGAAATTCTTCGTAGAATCCAGGAAAGGAATTTAATGACAAATATAATCTTATACTTACCGATAAAGTTTAGATGTAAAGGCATCATTGACTGTGAAATAATGGTGGGGCTCTATCTCCTTAGTCTTTGGCATCTTCAAGAGCACCCGCTGGTTTGGCTTGCCTAGCGCCAGCGACTGCATAGCACGCAGCAGATCTCGCTCAGGGATATCAGTTTCACTCTGGATCTCCTGTGAGCGTAGCAGCACGATAGGCAACAGTCGCATACAGTGGCGTCAATAATCTTTGGTCTAGTCTGATTCGTGACGGGACAGTGAGAGATTAAAAGTCACGTACAACCTAGTATTATAGTGAACTGCTCTTAGTCATAATTGTGAACGGTATGCTGCGATAGTTAACCCTTAATATAATTGTAAATATATTGACATGATACCTTCGCTTTGTACAGTCACGATTTTGATTTGTTCAAAATACATGGTCAAATACTCTAAGCCACCATTGATGTACTGAAATTTTGACTGGGACACTTGAATACTGTGTTCCTCACCTCGTACGTCCATTTCTCTCTCGTGTTGAAGAGCATTACGATCACCATCTGATAGGTAGACACCTGAATGATGTGTTTTCTGACGCCGGTCGAGCTGCCACTAGCTGCAACTGCACACATTGTTAACCATTAATCGTTAACCGTTAATATAACTAAACGACTGTTCTAAAACAACAAAGAATAAATGGTTTAATGCAAACGTCACTAAGGATGGTGGAAGCACAGTGGATGTGAGGAGGCGAGTGGCAATGGCAAGCGCGCAATTCAAAAGAGTAACAAACATCTGGCAAGCCAGAAACATCAGCAGAAAGACCAACACCTCCCTGTTCAAGAGCCTGGTTCTTTCAGTTTTGTTATACGGATGTGAGACCTGGAAACTAACCAATGGAGAAGAGAGAAAACTAGATTTCTTTCAGACCAAATGCTTACGGAAAATTTGCAAGATCCGATGGCAGCAACACATCTCAAACAAGTTGGTTCTTGATATGACAGAAGTGGAGAAAATCAGTGATGTGGTGAGGAGACGGAGGTGGAACTGGGTGGGACATGTGTTGAGGAAGGACAGAGCAAGCGACTGTGCTATGGCCCTTGGATGGGCACCTGAAGGAAGGAGGAAGAGAGGACGCCCAAAAACAACTTGAAGGCGAATGGTGGAAGAGGAGAGAAACAGAGCAGGCTGGAACTCGTGGAACATAGCACGGCAGGCAGCTGCAAACCGGACCCAGTGGAGGAGTGACGTCCAAGCCTTGTGCGCCTTATGGCGCGGAGAGAACTGAACTGAACTGGGTAGTAACGTACAAACGGAACACAAAATTTACCGGGGGCAAGAGCGGACACTGTGGATGTGGTGACGGCGCCTGCAGCTTCGTCCTGCCCGACGGCAGACCCCGCAGCAGCAGACGAGGCGAGGGATGCATTGAGGTCACCGACCGGTAAACTAGCGAGGTTGCCCGCGCCGCCATTCAAGGGCTCTTCTCTCCGAGCGCCGTAGAAGATAGCGTTTATATCAGCTGACCTGAATTTCACGAGATATATTTTAACGGAGAAATGAACGTGTTACAGAAGAAAAGCAAATTTTGGCATTATCAAATGGAACTAACAAGAGTATTTATCGAGACAATAATATGTCAACTCCCTGAGCATCTGTTTAAGCAGACTAGCGTGCTGAAATGTTCGACATCTTAGTAACCCAACCCAACCGGAGTAACAAATTGGAGCAATAATCATTTCTGATAGAATGATAAATAAGAATAACCTTGAAAAAATTCTTAATAATATTCTACTATGAATGAAATATTTTTCAGAATTTCTAAGGGCGCACTAACCCAAGCTGGGGCTGGAGTGTGAGCTGGCGGCCGCTGTGCTTGTTGAGGTAGAAGCGCCTGAAGGTCTGGAAGGCGGTGTGGGGGGCGAGGGGGATGTTGGTCTTGGAGGAGGTGAGGGTGGTGGGCCAGTAGCCTGACGTCAGCACTCGCACGTAGATGTCAACTGAGTTGTTGCTGCCGCACTGCAAGGCACAGCCATAAAACATCACAAAATAAATAGCTGAGCAACTACTTATATTTGGAGACACAAATTACAAGCTTGCAAATGAACACAACTAAAAAATAACTTGTATAACTTCAAAGTTACAATTGCGATCTAAAACTATCATACATCATAATTCGAGAATATAAACTATTTCTCAGAGATTTACAAATACAAAAAACCTTTTCAAGCCTTAAAAACTAGACATTATATAAACTTACCGTCGGTTGTCTCTGTTTAAATTCATTATTAATTGTAGTCGAGATCGAAACGTCTTTGAACATCCCTTCGAGCTTGGTAGTGAATTGACATCCACATTCAGTCTTAAGTTTAGAGATCATTGTCTTCTCACTGTCTTCGGACACGCTCTTTTGCAGCAGCAGCCGCTTAGCGAGGTGCTGCTTGTAGTATCGTTCGAACACGTCCTTCTCTTGCAGGAACCTGAAGAGCACCATCGTCTTGTCCAACACTACCTCGATCTCTCCTTCACTCATCTGCAACACCACAACACAGATCATGTCAATTAAGTAAAAATGAGCAGCACAAAAACAGGAATAAGTGAACATTACGGTACAACAAGCCGAAAAAATCATCACAATAGTTAGTCTTCATTCACTGACACAAAAAAAAAACTAAACTTTGTCATAATATGAAACATTTGAAATGTTGATAATTAAAGATCATTGAAGAACCAGTAGATAGTATTAATATCAAATGAGTGAAATCAAAGAATGTTCAGAAAAATCGTTATGATTAAAAACTGGGACCAGTAGAGAGCTGAAGAAGGAACTCTAGGACCAGAAAACAGTTAAAGAAGGCTTTAGGACCAGAAGAAAGCTGAAGAAGGAACTCAAAAACCAGAAGAGAGCTGAAGAAGGAACTCTATGACCAGAGGAGAGCTGAAGAAGGAACTCTAGGACCAGAAGGCAGTTAAAGAAGGAACTTTAGGACCAGAAGAGAACTGAAGAAGGAACTCTAGGACCAGAAACGTATCGAAGAATGAACTCTACGACCAAAAGAGAGCTGGAGAAGGAACTCTAGGACCAGAAAAGAGCAGAAGAAGGAACACTAGGACCAGAAGAGAGCTGAAGAATGAACTCTAGGACCAGAAGAGTGCTGAAGAAGAAACTCTAGGACCAGAAGAGTATTGAAGAAGGAACTATAGGACCAGAAGAAAGCTGAATAAGGAACTCTAGGACCAGACGAGTGCTGAAGAAGAAACTCTAGGACCAGAAGAGTATTGAAGAAGGAACTCTAGGACCACTAGAGTATTGAGGAAGGAACTCTAGGACCAGAAGAAAGCTGAAGAAGGTACTCTAGGACCACAAGAGTATTGAATAAGGAACTCTAGGACCGCAAGAGTATTGAATAAGGAACTCTAGGACCACAAGAGTATTGAGGAAGGAACTCTAGGACCAGAAGAAAGCTGAAGAATAAACTCTAGGACCAGAAGAGTATTGAAGAAAGATTTCAAGTCCAGGAAGAGACCTGGAGCAACTCACCCCTTTGACGCCCTTCTTGAGCTTGTCGTCAATGAAGAGCGACAGATACTCAGGACTCTTGCTGTTCAAGTTGAGGAAATACTCGAAATCTGTGGCAATCATTTGCTTGATGAGCTTATCGTTGTTGAAGGAGTGCTGCAGGAAGTGCGTGTAGCGATCCTTCAGATCCAGCAGGTTCTGCAACAGACCTCGATTTTGAGCTTTCAATTAATGAAGAACCATATCTTAGGTAAATAAAAAATGTACTTGAAACTGTTAAGAGACATTTTTAGCATGCAAAAAAAAAAATAATAAATAATAAAACGATTAAGTGACCAAAGAAGCAAATGTCAATCCTGTAAAGAGCAGACAAGTTAGTGGGTATTTATAGAACGTGGTTCGGACGCAAATCAATTAATTACCTAAGTTATGAATTTCATTGCAGGTGTTGAGAAGGTTAGGAATATGGGTTGAACGTTGGAGCGATGTAGAGTGTGACATGATTTTTTCGAGACCGAGCGTTTGTTTACATCGAAGATTGGCGAGCCTATCGCGAGTAAAATTGCAGCCGTTGAGGAATTTGGCGTCGCTGGGAAGGCTAGGCATAAGTGTGTATGGTGGCGACGTATATAAGGAGGGTAAGTTCACACAAAAGGGGTTCTTGTTTCTAGTTTATATTGAGGATCACGCAAGCACGGTCTGAAGCTCTGCTGAGTCGTGACAACCGCGGCTGCCAGGCCGGCAGTTTTCGCCCGTTTTCATACACTAACGATCGAAAGAATCTATTACTTATCGATACAGCTACGATCCTGTAAGAGCATCAATAATCTACAAGTGACGCCCACAACTTCGCTACATTTTCGCGATACAACCCGAGAGGCAACTAGAAGAGCAGCGATTACACAACCAGCAACAACAGGCGGCGCGTGGGCTCGGGACACGCGGCTATCATGGAGACAACAGTGAGCGCGTAGCCATGCTACACTACAACGACCGCCGTGGCTTTGTACGGCCGTGTCACTAAGAGATCGCGCTGTCGGGACAAGTTTTCCGCTGAAGTATCAAGAGACATCTCGCTAACTAGGCAATGAAGGTGCAAGGAGTAAAGGCAGTGTAGTGCAATTGAATGACATTTGTTATTTCCAAGAATTTCGGTAAAGAATGCAAAAGCAAAACCAAGCCGAGTAAATTCGCTCAACTTTCATTTAAATTATCCTAATTTTGTGTGCATTTTCTTTGAGAGACACTGCCTGTAGATGTGCAAGTCGCACCGAGCGTCATTAAGTTGAATGTTTGAGACATCGGCTCTGTTGCGGACCTTCATTGATGCCCCTTGTTAGAAGGCGTAGAAGATTGTATATCAGAGGTAGTAATTTTTTTTAATGGTAGTATGTGAAATTGAAATTTGTACGACTCATACGGCGAAGGTTGCACATTTTTTTAACGGTAGTATGTGTAATTGAAATTCGTACTATTCAAAGTTTGCATAATTAATCTTGTTCTCATTTGAATGTCATTAAATTGTCTAGAACAAGTTAAGGCAGCCACTCAAACTTGTATAGTCATTTTACTCATATAATAAGATTGTTTTTACTGATTAACCTTATTTGGAAAAAATTGACAAGACATTTTCTCTACTGACAACAAAGCAACACTCAAGAAATTATTTTTGCTGACTACACGAGAGCCTGAATTATTTATTAATAGTAGAAGATAAGCGACTTCTGAGTAAGAGTGGAATTTTATATCCTATTTATTACGAGAGCCTGAATATAGTTGAAGGTGAACGACTTACGAGCAAGAGTGGAACAAATTAATTAAGTCAACAGTGCATGCAAGTAAGTAATGAAGGCACCTCAACGATGGTCTTCATGTGCTTCTTGATGAGTTCCTCCTCGACGACCTCCACAATTCTCCTCTCTGTGTTCTCGTCGAGGTAGTGCTTGGCGCGGTCAGCTTCTTCCTGGATGCGGTGCTCCACTTGCTTTATGTACACACTTGCACTGTTCTCTGCCAGGAACTTCTGGCTTTCCATCTAAAATCAAACAAGCATTGTAATATTGTTGCGCTAACAGCAGAGTGGTGGTATTGAACGGTTCCACCCGGTTGCTTGGTATATTGTCGGGCTGCATCAATACAAGAAGGGTGTCATTCTACACCCGACTTTGTTTTAGTGTTCCAAGTAGACAAGATCCACACTATACAAACAAATAAATCCTCTAGTCTAATAAGCATCCAGTATCTGTTTTCTTATTCCCCCATCTAAAATGCATTATCAGAAAACAATAAATATTGTTGAGGACTCTGTTTCCGAGGTAAGGAATCTACTTTGTTTACTTATTCACCCTCCAGAAGCACTAACAGAAAACAATAAAAAGCTTTCAAGTGAGCTCATTGCCAACAAGCAACTGCCATTGATTCCTCTACTTTCAAGATGTTAATTTTCATTAGTAGAAATAAATTCAATTTCTACATTTGCTACAGTAAAATGACAATACATAGATTGACATTGGCTTACTCTATAAAATTCAGCGGACTGAGCTAAAAATGGACGCTCAAAGTCCTCTTCATAAACAGTGCGTGAGTCTATGCCGAGGACGAGGAGCATTTGACATGCATTCTTTATGCTGAGTTTGTCAATGACTTCGCCGCGTCTCTCCCTGATGACAAGACCTAGCAGCGTCTCCCTCAGGTGGTCTCTGATGCAGCCGTACCGCACAATCTGCAAGCATCTTCCTCATTATTCAATCAGGTCAACATGACGTCTAAAATATACAAGAGAACAGGGATAAATATGTTATAAAAACAATAAAGTTATGCAGTCAAGTGATGTATCAGTGACATGAAAGAGACAATCTTATAACTAAGTTCTGGTGTATTTACTCCATATCAATAAAAACATAAATACAACATAAAACAGGGAGCTACATAATAATCCTTTCTTACAACCTTTATAAATCATTCAGTACCTATGTCTGAAATATTTCACTGCCTGATGAAGTTTAAAATGTCTTTCAAGTAATACTTTTTATAAGTATTACTTAAAAAAGCAGTGATGATTTGTGATCAAGCATTTGTGAGAAGAATATCTTAGATAGTTCATCCTTTGCAGAAATTCATAGGAAAAACAATGCATAATGTTCTTGGAGCAGCTGTAATGACAAACATAAATAAACACTTGGGAATGTGGATTCTGGTGAAAATGAGGTGAGATGTAGGTATGATCTACTTCATTATGGGGGAATTTTTCAAAATATCATTCTAACTAAACATTTTTATTCTCTGTGAGTCTATATCAATATGCAGAAAATTAATGCTCTTCGTAATATGAAAATAGATTCGGGAAAATAAATAGAATCTTTAAAGGTACAGTTAAAAAATTTTCAATTGTAAGGTAATGACTGAAGCACTCACCTGATCTCTGAATATAATTAGCCCTAGATTATAAACGTTATCAACATTGTTTTGTTGTACATAGACACGATCCATGTACATTAAGATGTCTCTTATCATAACCATGGATGTTTGGTGATCATTCCAAGCATAATTTAATGTCTGTAGGAAGTTGTTGTTTAGAGAAGCGAGGACTTCAGCTCGAACCTGAAAATAAAAAGCAGAGTTGATACTTGATAGGCATACTGGCTACAGACGTTTAACACGTTGACTACGTATTGGTACATATGCGTACCACGAAATGTATTTCTCCAGGAGGTAGCAGTACATAATTCAGGCCAAAAAAGGCCAAAAAAAATTCAGGCCAAAAAAGGCCGATTATTCAATGTATACTAGTTTATTTGTAGGTTCCGCTATGAAAATTCCATTTATTTTCTTTTTGCAGTATTTAAAATTTAATAGGAAGTACCCCTATCATAAATTTTTGCCGGCCAACGCAATTGAGAAAAAGTAAATCACGGACTTTGTCCGGAAAAAAGACCGTCTGGCAACCCTGCTAGATGAAGCAATTGTAGTCAACATATTAAAGTCCCTGGCTAGGTACCGTAACTCTCAGTAACTACACAGAATGGAAGCAGATGGTGGAGTATGCAAAACTTGAACTTATGTACAATCTTAAAAATTTTCATGTTGATATAAGAAAATGAATTGTGATCAAAGTAAAACCTCATTATTTGTAGGAAGAATACAATCAATTAATAGAAAATTCTTCAACATTGAAGAAAATGTAAAATTAGGTATATCTATAAATTGGTGTAACTCGCATATAAGAACTTACCATGACTATGATCTAAGAGCAGCTTGCCATTTGTTAACAGGAAAAGCCTGTTAAGTCACTCCTATGAACTATGCAACAGAGTTATTCTGGTGACCACAATTGGAGCACTCAACAAATGAGCCCCAACTTGAATGTTAAAAAACCTAAAATGTCTTCTTACAAAGTCTACCTTACGAGAAATTTATTGCCGTATGATCTGGGGATATTTTAATGAAAGATTGTGGAATTCTACTCACACAGATAAAAGACAATATCTGCTAGTCAAATATATTATATATGAATAAACACACAAACAATTTAAACAATGAATTCAAACCTTTGTATCAAGATGATGAGTAACAACTTCTCTAAGGCCACTATAAAGTTTTTCTCCATGTTTATGCAGCACCATTGTGTAGGCATTACGATAGAGCTCCTCAAAACTGAGCCCACTGTTGTTCTTCTTCTGGATCTCTTGGATGGCATTTTTTAAAAGCTGCCAAATGTTCTCCACATATCGCTCATCCATGGTAATCTGAAAAATGTTTAGAATTAGTTACACAACAAAACTTTATTACAATTAATAAAAACAGTAAGTGATTATTGAGTATCAGGTTCAATGTCTATTTCTCCACATGGTGCTACCATATGGCATTAACACATTTCAGTATATATTCAGTATATACATTTTCTCTTAAGCTGCACATGACTGAAGAAGTGCTTCCCAATAGCCTCAGATACTTCCAGTGAGGCCTCTATATTTTTTTTTGTGAAAAGAATATGCCATGAAAATTGAGACTAAATTAATTCAGAGCTGGACTCTGAAACGTTTTCTCTTATAAAGATATGGTGAATTTCTGTGGTATTGTCTTTGCTTTTAAATTCCTGGTTAACTTGCAATTTAAGCAAACAAGTGATTTTAATACAACCAGACTTCAATAGGTACTTTCATTTGGAAAAATATCAAAATTTCTCTTCAGTTGAACTGCTGTGCTTGTTGTTGGCCAATGCTTCCAATGGTGCTAGTATGCTGCGGAATGGCACACTAGCACCATAGACATTTTTGGGTGCAAAATCTCAAAATACTTTGTTCTCATGTTGATTATAGAATTGCACCATGAGTACTGCCAAGTTCCAATCGTAGAACTGCACCATGCTTATAATGGCAAACCAGAGATTTTTAGAATTAGTTCATTTTACATTTTCTAATCTACTCAGTATTATGTATAAATATCAATTCATTATGTATGATAATGCTGGTATCAAATATACTTACTAGTCTACTTGTGTAAGAATTATGTAAGAAGTTAGAAACTAATCAAACTATATGCTATGGTAGTATTAACTGCTGGCATAGTGGCAAACCAAATATTTTTTAGAATTTGATTATTTTTCATCTCCTCATCTACTCAATTTAATAAATTTTTCATGTATGATGATGCTGGTATCATACCAGCATTATCATACATAAAAAATTTATTTATATTGTGTTCTAACGCAATCTATTGCGTTCTAACGCGATCTATTATGTTCTAACGTGATCTATTGTGTTCTAACATGATCTATTGCGTTCTACTGCAATCTATAGCATTCTAACGCGATCTATTACGTTCTAACACGATCTATTGCATTCTAACACAATCTCTTGCGTTCCAATGCGATCTATTGTGTTCTAACACAATCTATTGCGTTATAATGCAATCCATTGCGTTTTAACATGATTTATTGTGTTCTAACACGATCTATTGCGATCTAACGCAATATGTTGCGTTCTAACACGATCTATTGCCATCTAACGTGATCTATAGCGTTCTAACACAATAACGCAATCTATTGCGTTGAACGCAATAGACACGCGAATGACGCGATATATACAAGGCAATCTCTGCATTCTGATATACAACGCAATCTTTTGCATTCTAACGCAATCTTTTGCGTTTTAACACGATCTATTGCGTTCTAATGCAATCCACTGCGTTCTAACATGATCTATTGCGTTCTTAAACGATCAACTGCCTTCTAACGCAATCAATTGCATTCTAACGTGATCTATTGCGTTCTAACGCAATCAATTGCATTCTAACGTGATCTATTGCGTTCTAACGCAATCTTTTGCACTCTTAAGTAATTTAATGTAACCCAAGGCAATCCAATGTAACCCAAGGCAATCTAAAGTAGCCCGAGGCAATCTAATGTAACCTAAGGCAATCTAATGTAACCTAATGCAATCTAATGTATTCTAATTCAATTTAATATAACCTTATACAATCTAATGCATTCAAATTCAAACTGACACTTTCTACTGCAATCTAAAGCATTCTAATTCAAACTGACACTTTCTACTGCAATCTAAAGCATTCTAATGCAATCTTATGTAACCTAATGCAATCTAATGTAACCTAATGAAATTTAATGCACCCTAATTCAATTTAATCCATTATAGTACATTCTAATGCATTGCAATAAAATCTAGTGCAATCAAATAAAATCTCACTGCATTCTTACACATTCTAATTCAGTCTATTCAATTTCAATGAATTAGGTGGGTCACCTGCCAAAGACCACCACTGCCATGGATGTAATGGACCATCATGATTCCTGCCTTCCAGAACATAGCCTTCAACACTTCTGGACTAACGTATCTAGGCCATGTGTCAAACCAGCCCTCGGTTGAACGGCCACTCGTCGAAGGACTATAAATTTTGGAACAGAACTATGCTATCAGAAACCTAACCTCAGATGCGGTGAACGTAAAATTACGTAATTTAACAATGCCCAGAAGTCATATTCGATCTGCGGCCTGGTGGGGCACAGCAGGTCTTACGCTAGGCCGGAGGAGGACAAAAGCCGAGTGGTTCATGGCTGATTGGTGGATGTCCAGAGAGATCCAAGGCGTTTGATTCAGGGCTTATTGGTGCACAAAATTGGTGGTGCACGGCTGTGCTCCTGAATTAGATTGGCTTGAATTGGGCTGGAATGATTTGATTAGGGTTGAATTTGGTAGGGTTGAATTAAGTTGGGTGTGGTTGAATTGGGTTGAATCAAATTGGAACAAGTTAAATTGGTTTTGGTTGAATATGGTTTAATTGGGTTGAGTTTAATTGAATTTTGGTTGAATTGGTTTTGGATGGTTGGATTGGGTTGAATTGGTTTTGGTAAGATTGGGTTGGGTTTGGTTAGATTGGGTTGGGTTAAATATGGTTAGTATGAATTGGGTTGGGTTGCATTGATAACGATTGGGTTGATTTGAATTGGGATCAATTGGGTTGGGTTGAATTAGTTTTGGTTGAATTGGGTTGGGTTAAATTTGGTTAGGATGAATTGGGCTGGGTTGCATTGGAAGGGTTGGGTTGATTTGAATTGGGATCAATTGGGTTAGGTTGAATTGGGTTGGGTTTGGTTAGATTGGGTTGGGACCATTGGGTTAAATTTGGTTAGGATGAATTGGGTTGGATTGCATTGGGAAGGATTGGGTTGATTTGAATTGGGATCAATTGGGTTGGGTTGAATTGGTTTGGGTTGAATTGGCTTGGGTTGTAATGGTTTGGGTTGAATTGGTTAGGATTGCATTGGGTTTGGTTTGGCTAAATTATATTGGGTTGCATTAGGTTGGGGTGGGTTCAGTTAGATTAGGTTGTTTGAATTTGGTTGGAATGAATTGGGTGAGGTTGAATCGGGTTGGCTTGGTTCAGGCAAAGAGACTAATGATGTAGTCTGTTTATTTGAAATGATTTATCACAAGCTGCTTTGTTATCCATTGTCAGTGCCGTGAGGCTCTCTAAACGCAAGCACTCAAATACATGCCCTTAGAACCATCGGAACTGCGCGCTACTGTGAGTAGAGTAGTTCTGGTGGCTCTGAGCATGTATGCTTGGATGCTCATATATACACTCTCACAGCCATCAGAACTGCGCGCTACATCACGTAGTTCTGGTGGCTCTGAGCACGAATGCTTGGGTGCTCAAATATATACTCTCATAGCCAGGAACTGCGCGCTACAGCGCATAGTTCAGGTGGCTGTTAGGGCGTGTGCTTGGGTGCTAAATTGTAGCTCTTACAGCCATCTGAACTACGCGCTACGACATGTAGTTACGATCGTAACGCGTAGATCAATACGCCGCATCGGCCACATTGATCATAAATTGCAATTTATGCAGAAGCATAATTGGCAACCGGCATCCAGTGGCATGCACCTTGGCGTTTTTGGTGCATGAAATAGGCGTCCTCAACCTATGTTGTGCCATGCTTTACAGTCTGGATTCATCCAATATGGTTACAGAGGTGAAAGAGACTTATTTAACAATTTTTAATGCACGAGGTCAAAATGAGATTGCTGTGTTTCTAGGTGTACAAATGCCGTGCTTCTAAATTCTATGGCTGAAATGGGTGAAATTGACCACAAGCATGGATGATTTCATCTCATTCACTGTGGCTTCAGACTTCAGACCAATTTCCCAGAATGGATACCTTTCACTGCTAAGTAGGGTAAACATCCCATATTCTGACACCTTAAGGACGTAGCAAGAAATAAATGGCTATAAATAGATCACCGTATGCGCAACTCGAGTTCTGATTGGTTACCGTCACTCTCAAAACACCAATGCCAGCAAATGATGAAACGTCACAAACCTTTGCCATATTTATTTAAAAGCCTTTAGAATTCAAATCTACAACATCGCTGAATTCCAACACTGTGTGTGACTAAATGCGGCATATTGTGAGACTAATTCCCACAGCGCTAATTAAAAAAAAATCAGAATTCATAACGCTGACACCAGTATGGAATTCTGTTTAGGCAATATATTATCATGTTAACAAAAGAAAATATATCGAAAAATTTACCACCTTACACCTTCCACCGAAGTGACAATTGATACTCAATTACTCATACTCTTACACTGAGCTTGTCAGAAACTGCGGACACCCGGACAGCTGCCCTTCCTCTAACTCGCTTGCGTGTGGTTTGAAAACCGATAAAAAGTCAGCAACTCTTCCCTCCAATACATCACTAGTCCTGTATCCGTATCGACAAATTTTGTAATGAATATGTTCCAAAATAAAAAATAAAAATTACGTAAACTTTCGCAGAAAATTCTCACAATTTTACCAATACCAACAAGGTTCTTGAATCCACACGGAATGATGGGATAAATTGCTAATCTTTCACGGCATATGGCAACATTGTGTTGACTGTTGACATTAGACAAGACAGTGTCAGACACCTTGTTTTGGTCTTGTAAAGTTCAATTTCATAATAAATAGATTTGATCCACATTTCACAGTGACATTTAAATGATGGGAAATTGTTTCAAAATTTAAACACCAATTGATACGCTTCTAAATACGAATTTATTCATGTTTTTGCCCTATGATGTCGAATTTGTGTTAATAACTTCACTTCACTTCAAATCCTGAATGATTTTGTCTCCCATGGCGAGTTTTCGAACGTCTTGTATCTTTTAGAAAATGTTGGTTGTTTATAAGCAGTAATTATTTTATTTTAATGAACCAAAGAAAGTTTAGTCATCGAAATGACAAAATCATTAAATTTAAAATATCAAGTTATATGAGTGAGATCATCAATTATCAAAGAAGCTGTAAGAAAAAAATCGTTTTTGATGTAAAAGAATGTTTTTAATTTAAAAGCAATGCAATACTTGATTTTCATAAATACGATGCAAAAATTAATGATCCCTATTAGAATTCAACAGACGCGACTCATTCAGAATTAAATTGAAAAAGTTGGTACCTATTTGAAATTTATGATTTTACAAATTGCTTAATTGAATGCAGTGCAGAAATTCAAGATCACCTATGAGTATGAATTTAAGTATCATGACTGGAGATCTCAAAATTTATTGTACTACCACGTATGTTTGATACATAAGCTTTTTTGTCCTTTTGATGAACAGAGTTTATTTAGGTTCTATTGACTGTAATAGGTTGAACGATGCGACATATTTGTGGCCATCCAACGATCGGTTGACGGCTTTGACTCTTAATATCACTGTACAAATATTGCGGTGGACACATCTTCCAGAAGTTTCAATGCAAAGATTCTTATTTGAAGGATAATAAATTGATTCGTAGTTGTTTACTCGAATTACTCCCACCTATAGACATAAATGAACATTATTCAATTTATTTTAAACGTTTTTCATGAATTCGCATTAAAATATTCATTTTGAAATCAACCATGTCAAAGTAACGAAATAATTTGTTATAGTTTTAGGCTTCCGAAAATATTTCAAATCTCTATCAGAAATATCATAATTAATCATTCTCTTGCATTGACTATATTAACGTTATGATCCGTGCCGCCGCTGCCGCGATCGTCATTTGTTTTTGCAGTTGCATGCCACATGCGTGGAACTGGAACGGTGGAAGTAACTAAGAGTTAGACCAAGCTCAATATAAAGGAAAAACTTGAGGGGTGTCAGAATGACCCACAGTGTCGGAAGTAACATGGTGCGTTTACCGTAGAACATTGATATGATTTTTACTTATGAGTAGCATAATTCTATGTTCTAAGTTCTAACATACTTGCAGATTGCAGTGCAAATGATAACGGACAAGAAACCATTAGGAAAGCTAAAAACAAATTGAGTTCACAGAAAGTCAATCAATAATCAATTCAATATACCTAATCTTACCGGGAATGCTCGGATCCTCATTTTTTGTTCTTTTTTGCCACTGGGCATATTTGTTACTTCTAATATTAATGATGTCCTAACAAGCTCTGCTTAATTTCTAAGACTTTCTGTGATTTTTTCCACACAAAATTATATTTCACAAGATGATTTATACTTAAACTATCATTTCAATTGGTAAATTTCTGAAAAAGAAAGCTGAACAAAATAGGACTGGTTAGTACTAGTAGGTACTTAGTGGTAATGGTTATTCATTTAACATTCAAGAATTTTATACTTTGTAGGTGGGCTAGTGTATCAGTATCATATCATGCAGTAGCCTATAAACATACAACATTATCATGATTCATCTGCTAAAATGACAAAAAGTTTATGGGCCAACTAAACTTGCATTAAAATTCTTGTAATTTGGGTACTATTTGCTAATTGGTTAAACAAAAATACTCAAATACAGGGAACTTAGGGAAGGGTTACACCTAGGCCTAGCTGACCTAGGGTAGGGAACGCTGATCGAGTAAAATTCTCAGATCGTTCAATAATAATTCCATTCATCTAACTAGCTACCAGGAGTTACAGTCGCAGTTTCTCCTTTGCTCATAAATCATAATCGTATGCAATGCTCAGAAATTCAATTCAAGATAGGAATACATTCTAGCCAATCCGCTATAGTTGCAGGACAATAAACGAAGTAAACCAAACATAACAGCTGAATGTTGATAACTAATGTATTCAACCCTCCAAACAACTCGTTGAAATTAGCATAGTTATTCATTTACTACGTACATTATAATGGGAATAGACACAACTTTGATATTTTTAAAGTAAAAATCAATGCTGTTTCAGCACTTATTACACACAAATGCCACCAAAAGCTCTCGCGGAGTTGTTGTTGTTTTGTCTGCTTCTTGAGGACGTGGAGTCGTCCTCCATACACCTCACGGCTCAAAACGCTCCCTCGTCTGGCAAGCCAATCTATAATAAATAAAGCCATTAGGCAAAATAATTTTGTCTTATGAGAGTTAAATTGTGCACCTGAGTAGTCTACCGGTTAGTAACCCGGCCTTACCTAGCACTAATCTTGGCCCGTATGCTAAATAGGGCACTAGCACTACGAAGTAGCACTACGCACTACAAGCCGTAGTGCCGTACTAGTGCGACATGGAACTTCTTCATCAGTAGTGCGACACTAAGCGACACTAAACATTGTAGAGCTACTTCGAAGTGCTTAGTGTCTGTGACGTATTTAGCATACCAAAAGGACACTTAGTAGTGCATAGTGCTACTTCGTAGTGCTAGTGCCCTATTTAGCATACGGGCCCTTGTCATTTGGACACAAGGATTCATAGGGCCAAATGGTCCAGCCTGGGCTGGCGCAGCCTGGAGCATTCAATTTGTTCTCATGGAGAAGACACTAGATATTTACGAGCATACCACGGACCGTACTACATATACTTTACCGCTTCCACAGCTCTCGTGGAGTAATATTTAAGCCAATGGTAGAGTTCTTCTGTGCTTCGTACATAAAGAACTCGTCTCTCATTCACAAGGTGACAAATCGGACTAATTAAATGAATGACATTTTATTTGAGAAAAATATACACCCGGCACATATATATCCTATTTCCCAATTGCTGGGTGGCCCAGTGGTTACGGTTGAGAGCAACACGGTTGGAGCTGTAAGTTGTGAGTTCGAAACCGCAAAAGGTTGTGAATTGTTTTGCGATCATCATAATTAGCAACAGATCTAAGGTCGTAATCAATGCTGAAAACTCTATCACTCGTCCTATTTTATCAATGATTGGACTAAGTTGCACCACTGACCTGTGGGAGTGCTTTAATTAAATAGGTACATCAATTTGGCTATCGGGCTCATTGGACTTCTGAATATAATAATCAAATTCAGATACCAAACGTGTGATTGAAATGTTACCATAAAACTGCTGGTACACGCTTCAACACATGTTTGATCTGGTTGCGGTTATATCGATCACGGTTGCGGTTATATCGTGGGTAAATGATCTGGGATATAATGAATTAATCTTACATGCATTTTTATTTTTGAATATATATACTCTAACTTGGCCACGCCTCGCGTTCGCATTAGGTCCTTAATCATTACAACAGAATGGCCTAGTGGTTACACCTCAGAGGACCAGAATCGGGCAGAGAGGTGCGGGTTCGAGGCCGCAACAAACTGTGAATGTTCTGCGATTTAATAATCGGCGACAGACCGATGACCTAATGAACGCTAAAACCACTATTTTTTATTAATTAATAATATTATTATAATTAATATGCATTATTGTTATTATATATATATGATTATTTTATAATTATTGTTATTATCATTATCATTGGTTAGAGCCCCAGTGTGGGACTTTCTACCCTGGCGTGGGACTCTCTGCCCTGGAGTGGGACTCTCTGCCCTGGAGTGCGACTCTCTGCCCTGGAGTGGGACTCTCTGCCCTGGAGTGGGACTCTCTGCCCTGGAGTGGGACTTTCTGCCCTGGCGTGGGGCTCTCTGCCCTGGAGTGCGACTCTCTGCCCTGGAGTGGGACTCTCTGCCCTGGAGTGGGACTCTCTGCCCTGGCGTGGGACTCTCTGCCCTGGAGTGGGACTCTCTGCCCTGGAGTGCGACTCTCTGCCCTGGAGTGGGACTCTCTGCCCTGGAGTGGGACTGTCTGCTCTGGAGTGCGACTGTCTGCCCTGGAGTGCGACTGTCTGCCCTGGAGTGGGACTATCTGCCCTGGAGTGCGACTGTCTGCACTGGAGTGGGACTTTCTGCAATGGAGTGGGACTCTCTGCCCTGGAGTGGGACTTTCCGTACTGGCGTGGCAGGGACTCTCCTAGCTAAATATTTCGAAATTAAATTGCTAAGTATTTCGAAAATTTCTGATAAACCGCACGAGTCGCACGTGTATAACTTGCACGTCGTTCATGTTTAAGCATTTCAATCCCGAGCGGGACCAATTATATTACGTATTTATTGATTTGTTGTTGCTTCAACATCCGACGTAAATTGACAGTTGTTATGACTGGATAGCGAAAGAACCCGTAATATTGTTTACATGACAAAGTCACGTAAATGAAAAATTGGCTATACGAAAATTGAGGCACGACATAAATTAAGATTGCTAGTTAATAAATCACGAAAGAAACAATTTAAGCCCTTATTTCAATGATTCGATTAGGCAGTTATTTTTATGTTCGATTTTACAGCAAATATGATACCTACAGGTTTTCCGTGTCATCAGACTGTTAATTCGGATAAGAGATTCTGGGTACGAGTCTCTAAAGGTTCGATATTTCATGCAGTTTCCCAAGAGATGACGGCTTAGTGTCAATATACATGAACAAATAAAAATTCTAAAGCTGGGTACACATCATCAATTACTATGCTTTCAAGTATTTTCATTTTTTCAGCGTCTATTTATACGTCTTTCGTATATATTGCATCTCTGGACGTTCGTTTCTTTTTATCGGTCAATGTTACACGAGCTAATCCGAATGATTTAAAAAACATTTTCGACGTGAAATCATTCACGATGAGAGTCAATGACTTGTCCATTCATGCGCATTTCTTTCTGGGAATACACTAGGGGAAAACAATAAATGAGAAGCGTGGGAAAAATATTAAACGAGTTGTGTTTAGCACAGAACACACCAGATGGCGTGAGGGATGACCGGTCTCTCCGCTTGCAGGAGTCACAGCCGCATATCTAAGTTGAGTTCGATCAACAGTTGCAAAATTTGCAGGAGGGTCTAGAATGAAGAGTACTTCTGTGTTCCAAGTTGAGATTTGTATCAGGGCTGTTATTGGAATAAGTGCATCGATGTGTGAGAAAGAGTTGATGAGAAACACGTTATAATAAAAAAAAATTTTAATTTACATCTGCATAAATTATTTATAATATGTAATGCGTTAGGCGTTGGGTGGTCACCCTCAACCCGTCGTCGTTAGGTATCTCCACCCTCAACGGTCAACCCGTCGTCGGGTGATGGCCCGTGATCCCACCCTCAACCCGTCGTCGTCGAGTGGTCCCACCCTCAACCCGTCGTCGTCGGGTGGTCCCACCCTCAACCCGTCGTCGTCGGGTGGTCCCACCCTCAACCCGTCGTCGTTGGGTAACCTTACCCGCAACCCGTCGTCGTCGGGTAACCTCACCCGCAACCCGTCGTCGTCGGGTAACCTCACCCTCAACCCGTCGTCGTCGGGTGTTCCAACCTCCCACCCGTCGTCGTTGGGTAACCTCAGCCTCAACCCGTCGTCGTCGGGTGATCCCAACCCCCCAACGGGCATGTCGTATGTGGACATGTGAGGAAGAGGCTGTTTTCTAATGGTGGGCGCAGATTTCGATTTCACAACGGCCGTCCCTCTTCCCTAATTGGTTGACGTTAATATTATATAGGATCTGATGCAGAAAGCTTATTGATGGGATGAAGAAAGATGCCGCCAACACCTGTAAGGTGTCGGTAGTTAGAATAAACACGACACTAACACAATGGAATAGCAATATGAAAAGAATACAGAGAACACAGTTAGTAATTCAGTTATGGCAGATACACTGAAATATTTCATTGGCTATAAGAATTTAATTCTAGTGTGGAACTTAGCAGCTTACACCAGCAGATGTTCACACAGCGACGATGTCCAGAAAAATGACGCTATCGCGTGATTGGCTAATGTTGCCCACTAGGCATTCTAAACAAAATTCACCATATTTGATGACGCGTTTCAAATAGAAAAGTAATTTCGTCGTTTGCTGAACTTCATTTATTCAGAAATTACACGAGTGTTATTCGTGCTCGAGAATTGACAAAATTTAGTGACTGAATATTTTTATAATTATTTATTAATGATATTGATGAAATCCGAAATAAGCAATCGAGTTCATTATAATTAAGTTACATATAATTACTGAAATTTATGATCAACGAGTCTGAAAGTTTAATAAGATTAATTGCGACATTCACAAGGAACGATAGTGCGAGATATAAATTCGAGTCACTACTACACACGTGTCAAATCGCAGTTATAAAAATTATTAATTTAACTAGGTTGCCTCTCCTTTCCTATATGTTGCCTCTCCTACCCTGATGGTATACCATCAGGCCCAGAGATGCCAGCGACTATTTTTTCGGAAAACCTAGATTATACCTCAGAAGAAAACCCTAGATTTATTATAACACGTAATTCATAGTAATAAATCTTTGTTGTTTACATAGGAGTGATTATGGATATATATAAGGATAAACATAAATTAAAATTTAACATATTTCCAATTTTATTGAATAGTTATTTAACATATTTTCCGAACATTTCCCTTCCCCATCATTTCATCCCCCTAGTGAACAACAGCTTTATCTGCATGTCTTGCACCCACTAAAACTACTTTCATATCTTCTGTACATGGGTCACTCCATAGCGTTAGTCGCGTACCAGTTCTCCATCTGGCTCCCATGTTATGCAAGACTGACCACGTTCCGTAATTTTGAACTGTGCCACTAATGTTGTGATGGAAAAAGGTGAATAATTGGCAAACAAACTTGTGGGTTTAAATGTTAAGTTGTGCCATATTGCTTCTATCACCAAATGAAAATTCGTGTTTGATTTGTACACACAATGCTACCAAGAAATTCAATCAGTCTTTGCTGAATTTTCCGAGAATGTCATCATTAACCAGGGGTTCTTGCTCTAAAAAGGCTGTCGTTTTACCACCAAGAAGTATATCTTCAAGAACTTTGAATAGTTTGCTATCGCTTGGATCTACATCACATAGTATTGATTTTGTCAAGTGTTATTCCTTAATGAAAGAGCTTAATATATTTTTGTATTCAGCAGATACCATCGAGTGAAGGAGGTGCAACCTAAGATGTTCAGATTGAAATTCCAAGACGAGTGCATTAACTTTCTTCAGAACATATTGAACAAAACATAGCATATGTTTCGTGTTGCGACTAATTAGTAAATCATAAATTTTACAAGCTCCATAAAATTGATCAGTTTTAGCCTGTGAATCAAAGTGCAGAATCAAAGCTCCACGGCTTCAAAACGACTGAATTACATGCTCTCGCGACTGGGTCGTGAACTGAACTGCCTCCTAATTTTTAACCGACACGCACGCCAACTTTACGAGCTCTGTACGAACATATAGTAGAAATTAGAACAAGGAATATTTCCATTTTCCTGACAATAATTATAGATTTATTTTTGCTTTCAGTGCATCATTCTAAAAAAAAACTTTGATTTAGATTACTTTGCAAATTAAAACCTAGAAACCTAGCTGGAAGCATAAAACCTAGATTATGTTTTTCAATCTAGCGCTTGCAGCACTGAATTCAGGAAGGATGAAACACAAATGCTGTTGTTAATCTTTACTAAATAAATGAAGATGGAATTACCTTAGAATTAAGAGCGAGATTTAGAGATCAAAGAGGAAATTATCTTAGAATTGAGAGCGAGATTTAGCGATTAATATCGAAACGGTTATGATGGAACTAGACACCTAAGGTGTCCACTCACAAGGTTGAAAAATGAAAGGTAACGTAAATCGTAATTCAATGATGATATTTCTAGTTAGCGCTCAGCTGTCCTAGTCGGCTTCACGAAAATTAATCACGGACTCTGGTAGGGCACATGTGCCCCACTCGACTTGAGCAGCGGAAAAGGCTCACAAATAGAAGTGGACGTTGAGTGTGACGTGCTGACGAAGCAGTGGCAGTGAACGAAGTAGCACGTCGTGCCACTTCGCACTAGTTAGGATAACTATAGGAACACAATGGCTCCGAGGTGGCGTGGTCAGCGACATCATGCAGGCCCACCGGCGTACCTTAAACAAGAGGGACACGGTCAGCATCAGGCTACAGTTGCTGCTGCGCTAGGGCGTCAAGACGAACTGACTGCGGGACACTGATAATAATAGAAACGGAAGAAAAATAGCAGCTCAACCATTTGATGCTCATGATATCAACTAAGCAAGAGGCATTAAATACGGCAGGCGCCACACAATCAAAACTTGCTTGTGCACGTAGCTGCCTAAGAACGCGAAAACAACGATTTCTCGTCCGTAATTAGTGAGTTTAACTTGAAAAAGCTCACGAAATTACGAACTTGTTACTTCTTAGAGGTGTGGTTCCTGGATGATGAAGCAGGCAAAGGTGGCGAGCATTCAATGCTGAATGAGGTCCAGCCAGACGCCGCGAAGCTCGTGTGTGACGAAGGCTTTACCACAACCATCAGAACTTACCATTCCTGGCAAACGTGAATGAAACGTAAGAAGAAACGTGAATGATTACAAGCAATGATTAATTTTGTTAATTATAATAATACACATGATTGGTTGTCCTTCAGACATGGCACTCAAAGACATGCGACCATAAGACACTCAAAGACGCTGTTAGATTTCAAGTGGTTCTTAGAACTGCATTACATTTTCATGAACATATAATGCGTATAAAATGTGCATAGTAATATATATTGTTATATACAATAGAAATTAAACAAGCAAAGAATAGCATAAACTTTCACAATCGAGCATGTAAGCATTATAATAATGACATGCAACTCTTAATATTTTCAGGTGTTGCTCTCTGCATTTTTTTCCACAAAATCGAATAGGGAACAAAATTCAAACAAATATAAAAGAAAAGCTTAAATGACTAGTATGTCAGAAAAATATTAGTGGAATGAAAGAAGTTCATGACAAATATCATTTTACAATTCAAGTTTTCTACAAAAAAAAAATGAGGTTTAATCCGCAGCATTTTACTTAGTCTTTTATCTGTACTTTACTTAGATGTTCTGTATGTGTGGTCCAAAAGACATGGAAGCGTTGTAAGTGATACATAGAATCTTGGTTTCATGTGTGTGTGGTATGATGGAGTTGTTTAGTGTAACTGTAGGTCTGTGTTGATGCTCCTTTGTGTGGTTTGTTAGTTGTGTGCTTGTTGATTTAAGGGGGGCTACTTTGAATCTGTTGCGTGATAGCGATCCCTCTAGTTGTGCGATGTAGAGTTGTACTTGAGTGGAGCATGTGTTTGCATTGATATGTGTTGATGTTATTGTGATGTTGTCTGCATAGGATTGATGTGTGTTGATGTAGGTAATTGTGATGCCTCGCCCCTTTCGATCAGCACTGTCCCAGCTCGGGCTACTGCAGTTCCCTGGCGTCCTACACCTTCAGGGTCGGACGGTCCCCCAGTGCCTTCCTACTCGAGTGCAGGGACCCCTTCCAGTCCGTCCAGCTTCTCTTCATCTGCCCCCTCCTTCCCCACGACCCTCAGCGTCTCCTTACTGTGGGACAGTCCAGTTCCATGGAGGCGACAGAGTTCCTGGCCACCCTCCCAGCCTTCGCCCATCTCCCTCTTCTTCCGGTGTCCAGCCCACCGGAGCCTCCCCTGTGCGAGCGTGATGTCGGCGCCAACAACAACATGGCTGCTTACTTGCAATCAGGTCTGCAAGTTTGCATAAGCATTGGTAACTGTGATGACTGATGACTGTTAGCATATTAATTGCTAAAAAAATTACAAGTAACCAGATTGAAAGGAATGCAGCTATTTGCAATATGACAAGGTTACCAATGCACTCTAAACTTGGCTTGCACCTTTCAGTAAGTAAAATTCCACACAACACAAACAAAAAAAAAAAATATACATTTTTTTTATTTTACGTGAAATGACTCACATACTCAGCTAAAGAATTCACTTTGCAAGAATATAATGTTAGCATTATTTTCTTGGCTGGATTTGATTTTAAATGCACATAGTCAGGCATTACCACAATTTTGTATGCTTCTATTTTTGAGGCAGTTATTTTTCCAGTTTATATTAATGTGCACTCAAAATATTTAGAAATGGCTAAAAAAACAATGTTGGAGATAGGAGGACATATACTGTCACAGTCAATACTACATAAGTTGCCACAACACTTAGGCAGCCAGCCTCCAACCAAAATGAGGCATTTCATCATCACTTTTAAGTAACATTAATTGGTTTTGTATTATTGTACTAATTGATTGAATGCAACAATTTGCAGCAATCAATTACTTAAGAGCAGTATCAGCAAAGTGCTCACTCGTGTGTAATTTCTGGTAGTATATATGTATACCTACATGTTGAAATATTAAAGCTCCAAAAGCATATTTTTTGACAAACAATAGAGCATCAGGAAGTGGTTTCTATACTGAGTAGTATTCATGCAATCTGGATTCAAGCAACTTAAACTCACCTGAAATGCTCTGCATCTTGCCTTAAATTTTGCCCTTGGCCCTAGCCCCCAGCCTCAGGCAGCGACAAATCTGAAATATTAGAAATATTCAAACAAAACCACCAGTAAAAACTAATTGTTGATATTTGACTTCATTTTCACCACAGAAATTAGACAAGGGTTATGATCACAAGTGAAATGAATCCCTAGCATGTGTGGAATTAATTCTGCTTTTGCTTCTTGAATCAGTTGAATGTGCAGATGATCATGACAGTCATCACACTGGTATTTGCACAATTTTTCAACATGACACAGGCATCCCAAAAATGAAAAATCAGGCAGAAGCAATCCATAAATATACAAAAAAACACAGCAAGGAAATATTGTAAAATCTTTGGCAAAAGATTAGCATCCAAATTTATGTCTCAAAAAAATTTGTTAAACACATTTATTTCTCCTTAAAAACAACTTAACAATAATTAGGTACATGTAATTTTTGCAAGAAGTCTTAGTAAAAGGTTCAGATAGTTCTGGCATGAAATCCTCAATGAAGTTGGCAACTTATGGGCCCAAAATTAAAAATCCATTCCTGACAACACATAGAACACAAGTCATTGCCATAAACTCTGCAGTCTGCACAGCCTAGGTACGGTACTGGTACCTCATGGCTCATGCTCAGGATCAATTTCATGCATTTCACACTTTTTACTAATATTATTAATAAAAATTAGTTCATAAATATAAATTATGTTTTCATCTAAAATTTTTAAAAACAAGCTTTACAATTGCATAAATTATTTTCTTCCAAAATGTACAGAAAATAATCTGCCCATTTCTCCAGATTTGTAGATAGCATTGTTAGCTAGGCCTGCTTCTCAATTAAAATACCTATTATGTCTTGCCTAATGCCTAGCAGCCTAGCCTCTAAGCAACTAAGCCTAGCTTGACTCCAGAGTCCAGACTAAAGTTTAGGTACTACAGTGTCCTTTTCTATTGTTTGTTTTGAAAATAATCCTAACATTAATTAATATATCAGTTTATCAGTAGGTAGGTATACAGATCAATTATCACAGGTAGTCAAACAATTTAAATTTTACTTAAATTCACTACATTTGTCATACATGAAGGCTTGTGAAGCTATAAAATGATAGCAAATTATTAATAAATTGAATTATTTAAACATGAGTTTATTTAAATAGAGATTAAAATATATCAATAGCCTACATGCAAAATTCATGCTCAGCATCTCATGCCTCATGGTGCAAACTGTGAGAGAAAATTTGATCATGCGTTACAAATTAGGTGAACAAAATATATAAATATATTTTCATAAAATTATGAAACACATTAATTCCTTACTCGTGTTTCCATGAAAATTTGATATGGTCATATCATCACTCCTGGGTAAATACGGTTAGAATTAAATCCAATCAGCGACCAAGAACTTCAAGCGCGGTCAAAAATTTCAGTCAGTCTGTCAGGCCTTCATATCATGCGACTGTGCCAAACACTGAACACATGATCGTATTTGAAGTCGTGAATGAAATGAAGAATGAGGACGAGGTTGCTGGCGGGGGAGGAGACGATAGGACAGCCTGACAGGTAAATGTATGAATGAAAGCAGCTGAAGTTTGAGCCTTGAAAGTTGAACTTGAAGGTCTACCGGTAGGGAGTGGACAGAGGCAGTGATGTGCTCTAATTTGTGTTTGATATGTAGTTACTAAGTTTGCGTTTGATTTGATTAACTTCATAGTAATTTTATAATTATTTTAAATATAGGAGTCACAGTAACCGCACATAACATTGAATTCCGCTATTCAAATATGAAGACATTTGAACGAAATCGAAAGCATAGGCATAAGGCATGTGTAATATAAAATAACTAATTCGGTACACCTTCGTTTAGCTAATAAATAAGTTTCGCAGCATGCTTAATTGGCAATGTAATTTGTCAGAGGTTTTCCGGTAAAGTTCTGGAAATTTGTTGTACGCAACCACCGGAATTCGCACTGAGAGGTGTTTAAATTTGTAACTTTTTTCAATATTACGGTCATTTAGACGATAAGCTCACCGTTTAATTTTGTAAAAATGGTTTTTATTATAATGTGCGACATATAGCAGCATTGACTCAAACCCGTAATACGCAGATGCAATTTGGGCTGCTTTTTTTAATGAGCCAGTTTTTGCGTAATTCTCATAAGAAAACATCTCAGATATAAATGCTTTGAATAGTATCACATAATAATCATACACATTTCGCAACATGGAGTTGTAAATACATGAACTGATGAAGTTGAACTTGACATTATTTGTTCGGCATAATTCAGTTGCAAGTTTTTTGTAATCAGAAAGCTCATTCATAAACTGATCGATATGTATGACAGCAGTGAATCCGCCAATTTTTAGTTTGGTAGGCTCAGAATATAGAGTCAATTACTGCGAACATCAATAACATGATTATTCAAATGCATGTCACACTCACTAGTTGGACATGCTGGAGAAGGATATTTCGCAAAAGCAGCTCTGTTTAGCGTCAAGCACGCCAGAGGGCGAGCAAGTTGATCGATCAAAGACACAACACCCATTGCGAACAGAGCCAGAGATAGTGCAACTCGCTCTGTTAGAGGTGGTGCGAGGCAACTTTCTCTTGATATTGGAAGGCTCTCTGCCTACTGTGGTCTTTAGTCCCTTTGTTGAAGGTGCGTACAGTGAACTTTGTGCAAGTATTTTGTTGATTATTAGTCATTCTCGACGACTAAAGAATGGATTTAGTTTTGATTGCCTTGTGAAGACCAGACTAAGGACGGAACCACACCTTAGGCGGTTCAGGTTGCTCTTGATAACTTCGTTCATGGCTGCTCCGGGTGTATGCCTTCTGCCGCCATCCTTAGAGGAGCATTCGATGGAATTCACATTCGAACGCCTTCAGTACAAGTCTAAGAATATGAAGTAGTTCAAACAGGAGTCAGACGTGTACATTTTGTTTCTGGGCGCTTCTCGCTCACTCGCTGGCTAGGTATTTCAGTCTTTCCGAATCCGAAATGCTATGAATGACCTTTAAACCGTCATTTTAAATGGTTGCTTTCAAAAGATTTCTGCGGTTTCGGCAACTCCTCAAAGCGGGGTAATTTTTAAAAAATATTTCACTTGGCTTTCTTGAAAACGTTTAATTTCTAATTTGACTGATGGGCATCATGTTCGAGTATACTAAATTGGCTGTACTCGTACCTAATGTCCCGAATGTCATTGCCAATACTATTCTGGTGCTTCGGTACAAAATGATTGAGAAACTTTTTAAAGCAAAATAAGTAAACTTTCACAATAAAAAAGTATAATTCCCTCAATTAAGGCGCAGGGTGATGAAATTTTCCTGCAAAACGCCGTGTTGCAGCTGTTTTGACGTATGTTAGCAACCGTATGAGTTATTGCGTGTTGAACGATACAGGAACGTTCGTGACAGTCGACGAGCGGAAACGTCTGCCGAGACGTTCATGGGGCAAGCTGTCCGGCCTCGTTATCTCCGCTTTTGTAGAATAAAAAAACTATTAGAGCTTGAATAAAATAGGCAAATAAGAATCTTTTGTTGTATGTGAAGCGGGGAAGAAGGAGTCATTAGTGATGGGCGAGATGAAATGTGACGAGTCATCCTTATTCTGCTATCATTTATTCTGTTCTAGCCATTGCCGTAAATTGCCCTTATGCCTCACGAACTCTTAATCACTGATAATGCGCTGTAAACTAACATAAGCTATTTATAAACCGATTTAATAAAGCTTCTCGTGTACAGGTGAAACGATTCACAGGTTAGCAAGAGACGGAAAACATTTGTTTTTATTAGTTATTTACTTTAATGAGCTTTGAACACATAACTGTGAACACTGAGCAGGGTGGCCCAGTATATACAGTTCAGAGTTATCAGGAATGAATCTGAGAGCTCTATTTCTCGATCCCAGCTCTGTGCACCAGTTTTTGGTCAGAATCGGCAAGAAGGCTGGGCGGTTAAACAAAGCAAAATGGGAGCAGTGAGTTACGTGTTCGAGACCGCCACAAGCTGTGAATGTTCTGCGCTGATAAGAATCGGCGACAGGTCTAATAGCCTCGATAACGCTGAAACCGCTAGATTTAAAATTTTTTCTATACATATCTAATATATTAACCATAAGATGAACGCAGTTCTAATGAATATTTTTTTATACGCGTCCTGATTTAGGCGCAGGTTTATAAGCGAAGTGCAATTATGTACTGTCTCTGAAGTGTGCTAAATTGCCTTACGTTGGTCCAGGCAATGAAATGTGCTAAATTGCCTTACGTTGGTCCAGGCAATGAAATAGTTGTTGCGGGGCCACTAGGAAAAAGTGGAAGAGAACAAGAGGTGGCGCAGAGCCGCAGAGTGGCCAGAAAGAGGAACGAGAACAGGAAAAAGCAGTAGGAGATGAAAAGGCGCATTGCGCATGATTTGGTTGGTTGTAGGTGAGTGGGGTTTGTTTGGGGTTGGGGGGAGGGTTGAGCACAGTTGAGTTAACATAGTGATCTCGGCGCTTAAGTGGAGGCCTGATGTGGCCTACACTTAAGAATAAAATAAAAAATGATTCGTGCTCATACTATTGGCGTGTTTGCTTTTTTTCATAATTTTTATTAAGTTTTCATTTCATTTTCTTAGATGATATGATGAAAAGAAGAGGGTGATGATATTGGTGAATGTTGATGATGATGAAGATGAAGGCAGTGGTCGAGTCGCTTGAGACCCGGAGGCGGGTGTGGGGTTTTCGTACTGGGTGTTCGGTCTCGTTTTTACTGTAAGTCACTCTCGGTGAGGCGCGTCAGTGATGGTGTATTGGATGGTGTTTGATGTTTTGGGACCAGCTACACCCAAACGGGATGGTAGCAACTGCTGTCCGGGTGCAGCATGGTCCGCTGTGTATTCATTTGTATAGGGGTGTTTCATTTCATTTATCATTAGAGTGCCCGATGTATGGCAGCGATACGTATAAGTTATTGTACAAACGTGTTATGCAGCAGCAAGAGGTGACCTGTCCCTGGTGTTGGTATATCGCCCTGTATGCCAGCTTGTGCTATGCGCGTCGAGGCGCGAGCTGGCAAGAAGCCATCTCGCCTTGCTGTGGCAGCTGCAGAGCCTGTGCCCGTGCACTTGCATGTTCATGCAGTCTATCTACTGAGCTTGTTTTTATTCGCAGGAATTTGCAATTAACAGGGACTGTTCTTACAGAATCACGACCAGTTCTTCTGATGCATTCATGATCAAGCGTTTATTTGCTAGAGTCCTTCGTGATTTAACATTCACTCTACGCGCTCTACCACGTCATCATGCGTGGGTTTTAAAACTAGGATTTTTTAAAATTTTTATGTAATGCATTCAATAAATACGATATAATATTAAATACTAAAATTCAGTTTGGTATTGTTCAGAGATACGATGGACGGTTGCTATTCAACTTACTCATGCCCCGCTTGATAAGTTTAGTCCAATTATTTATATATACCTATACGTAAATTCTAAATAAAATATTTTATTGTCTCGATATAATATGTTTTGACATCAACTCCCTGCCGTCAGTTTTCATCGCCATATATTGGATGACACGCTGCATCTCAGTGGAATTGAGTGTTCTTTTGCAAAAAACAGTCAATTTACATAGTTTAATGTTATGTGCTTTGGCTACGTTATTCTTCTCACGTATAAGTATCGTAACCGTTATGGTAGCATTCATTATTAACGAATCTTTGCGAACATTTTAATAATCTTGATCACGTCATGAATGTCATCTGTAACGTGACGGCAGTCGCGTAAATACATATGCCGAGTATATATTTCGGGAACGAAATGAGAATGCTTTGATGGCATCTTGCATAAGTCAACTTTTTGGACATTAGAGATTGTATTTTTTCCACGCTGAAGCACTCCTTCGTTGCTTTCTGTAGATTGTAAGGACGTCCACATGTGGTACGTTTTAACTTCGGCGCCGAAGAGCAGTTGACTCTGTTGAAGACATAATGATTTTAAACTATAGTCATGTACATTAAGAAACGCTCATTTGTGCCTCCAGTTCATGCAGGTTCCTAATTTAGAACCCGTTTTCAATTTTTGAAGAAAATTACATTTTTATGGTTTTCAAAATTTCAATCTTGGTAAATTAAGAATTCAATAAAAATACAATAATGTAGTATTGTTTGTGATGCCGCTATACTATAACACCACCACAAAAGGGTTAAAAAAATTTGAATGCGAAAGATATTTTGCATATGCACTAAAACAGCCCCTGAATGAAACAGTGATGTTAAAAAATATATAATGTCTAAGATATACAGTCGATAATAGGCTCCTTACTGACAATTTAGTGTCTTCTAAGCTACCTTGATGCCATTTGATCCTATTAAGCATTCAACTCACCGCTCTGGTATTACGCTACTAATTGGCGCTTGTTACATTCTTATTTATTGCGATCATTTGTTAAATAATATCCAGACAGTTATCGCCATCTAAGGGTAGCTATGAGACTCACCTCGCTTTCCAATCTCTGAGCAGGTATTCCGTTAAATTTGGCACCAGATGAAGATTGCTTCCTAGACGTATTTCTCATACTGCTTCATATAACATTAAACGAATTTTATTACTCAATATGTATTATTATGTCAGCATCCTCAATTATAGCCTAAATCTTCACTTAATTGCTTTGATATTATGTGATACACAATGTAGCAATTCACAACTACGTTGTGATATGAGATAATTAGCTAGATATTCCTTGATTTGGCTGAGTGCCAACTAAGAGGCCGCCGCTCACGTGTATTTGTGTTTGCCTCCTCAGGTGCTCCTGCCAACGCCGTGCTCTGTCACACCCTGTACTCCGGTCGACACGCCGTGTTTTAGACTGCATTGCCAAGGGAGAAAAAAGATTCATGCAGGTTATGTGAGAGGCGACCGTGAAGCAGGAGCTGTGGAGATGATACCCTCATGTTGAGTCTTCGTCTCGTGTCAACACGATCTTTGAAACAGCCGTAGTCATGTGTCGCGATCGCGATATGAATCCTTGAATTCCCTCGTCTCTATAATACACCAATTATTTACTCGAGATTTAGTGGTCAGTATTCCCTGTCATCACTGTCGGATTGGCTATTAATCCACTGCTGCTCCATATTGTTGATTCTGGTTTACGTGTGGCGCAAGAAGCCCCTCTCCTCCGAGAACATCGTCGATTTTCAAGACTCTATCTCCGCAGATGAAACAGAAAACAATAACACCGTACCCTGTGAAATAGAACATTTCTAAATGTAATTATCGACGTTACGCGACACAGTGGGCTGCCCAGATTGTTTTTATAATCCCAGGACCGAGTGCCCTCTTTGGTCTCGTTATCATCTCCCAGTTGCTGGGCACTGCCAAGACGATCTGCAACACATTTCGTTGAGCCAGCACATCCCATGCTAGGCTGCCAACATCACGACTACATCATTGGCTCTGCTTACTTCTCCAGTTGCAACAGCGCGTTCTGAACTTGTTCTCTAATATCAGGCATAAACAATAGTTTTCACACTAGCTAGTGTCGGTTAATTGTGTATCAACAGTAAGGAAAAAGTTTAAACAATTGTGTATCAACGGGAAGGAAAAAGTTTAAATACATTTCTGCTGTGTTAAAGCTGTTGTGTTGTCTTGAAAGACGCTATCTCTTTAGGCTGTGAAGGTGTTAATTTACTTTGAAGCGCAGTGAATCGATCACGTCACTTCGGCGTCGAGGTTTGAACTTGAAAGACAAGGATTGACTTCCACGTTGGGGCTTTGTGATCTGCTGAGAGGAGTCTTCTTCAGTCCGATTGATGCAGTGATCTACTGAAGACGTGGGTTATTGAGATTACTAGTATTAGGTGATTCTCTGAAAAAAGTTAGCTTGCTGTTGGCTCGTGTCGGTGTTTTCTGAATAGATCAAGGCATAAAAATTGATAATTGCAAAGGCCAACCATTTACTGATAGGTCCACGTTATTAAGTAATAATAGATATCAGGGAGAGGTTTCTAATACTGCTAAAGTTTAACAAAGAAGTATTAAGTGTTCGGCCTCCGCAAACTCCTCTCTCGTGACGCATAAAATTCCCCGAGTCTGACCGAAACACGAACACGAAGAAACTCGTCGGCCGTACTTCAACAGCCTGTCCCGCGACCTTCGTCAGGTATGTGACTAAATTCTTCTTTCCTCGGGTGACAGTTGATTATAGCTTCATATTCCACTACTAGTTTATTGCATTTATATATTTTTGGCTGCGAGTCCTGATTGTTCCAAGCGAGAACTTTTAAAACCCCGTCATCCCGAACCCTGTCATCCCGAACCCCGTCATCCCAAACCCTGTCATCCCGAACCCCGTCATCCCGAACCCCGTCATCCCGAACCCCGTCATCCCGAACCCCGTCATCCCGAACCCCGTCATCCCGAACCCCGTCATCCCGAACCCCATCATCCCGACTCTCGTCATCCCGAACCTCGGCAATATCATTACCAAATACGTATATAATCAAAGTAAAATAAAAACACTCATCAAACACATTCAACATAGAACTTCATTTAACTCATTTTATAAATAAAAAATTAATTTCGTGTAAAATGAATTAATTTGAACGTACCAATTCTAAAATCTAATTTCAGTATTTGAGTCATCTGCCTCTTCACTCATGCCTCACAATTCTGCATTACTGTTTTCCTGCTTTGAATAAAATTTTAGATCTTGGTAATATCCCGACGTTTTCGTGATTGCAGATACGCGCCCGAGCAGCACCTTTGAATTCCCGTGCCTGGCTTCTAAACGAGCGTTGACCATGTGTAATAGAATCCCTGTATGGATTTTATACTCAAATTCATTTAGCTTTTCTCATTTTATGAGACTTATTCTCTTTACTTGTTTATGAAGTGGCAATAGATTTCATTGACCACACGCTGCCTCGATTTATTTGATCTCAATACCACGATTCCAAGCGTAACAGGAATGTAGGCTACATAATGGCCAGCTTCCAATAATATTCGCATTCGAAAATTTAGGATTGCGTCCGGGCTACTGAGGCACTTGGGGCAGGATGCCTCAAAAATTAGTACGAACATTTTGATGCTCTGGCTGACCGTGGATAAGGAAAAAAACTGGACAGGCATGGCTGGTTAAAAAAATTGTTTATCATTAACACATTTGTCATATCGTCATTATTTCCAGGACTCATCTTTTCCTGTAAACTTTTTGCTTGTACCAAGATCGGGTACAAAGAACTCGCTTGGACGTCATATTCTTGGTTAAATGTGTTTCATTAAAACAGTTTCCGTATTAGTGTTGAAAAATGCAGTCGTAAATGCGCTCTATTTTGGCTGCGTAACTTATCCGGTCACCAGGACCTGGCATCCTGGATAAGAGAGCTTGAGTTGCCAGTCGCGTTGTCGGTTGCAAACCGCGACGTGTCAGGGACATGGCAGTTGCTCAATTATCTATTAAGTAGTATTTTTATGCAAATGTTGTCTTTGGGTGACGTTCGTTGGCAGAGCAGAAAATTGTGCTAGTGTTTAGACATTGTGCACTTGGTTTGGCATTTTGCAGTGGTTTGCCAAAGTTAGTGTACGACGTACGTTGTTTTGCATTTACAGCGAGTACATCTACTGTCGTCATTATGCCTCCCCCTTAATTAGCCGCTTACTTCGTTCATTTATCGCTCTTTGATGAGCTAGGATTTATTTATAGTGTTACGAATTGTGCGAGTGCTTACGAATATTTGTTTACTGCTGCAATATCAACAATGGCAGGTTTAAAGCAGGCGTCTGAATATTCGTTGAAGAAACTGGTCTTTCTATTTGTGCCCCATAGGAAGTGAGCACTAATAATAATTCAAGGATGTTATGATGCGAACTTGTACTCTGAGGATAAATATAGACCTGATGTGTGAGCTGAATTAGAATGATATAAAGTGCTGGGGGTTGTGAACACCATTGCTGCACTAGGTTTACGGTCATCTGGTGCTGAGCTCTAGCATCCCCTCTACGTGGGCTTTACATGAAGAGTGCAAAGGGCATTGAAATTAAATGTTCGCTGAAAAACAGAACTAATGCTCATGCGAAGTTTTTTTTTGAAACGGTTACGTATATTAAATGAAGTAACTAAATGCATATTATAGTGAATAAAGTGCCGTTTTTCAAGATTTTTATGACCTTGTCTTGTCAATACATCAATACTATCACGCAGTATTTGAATTAACAACGATCTCGTTTGCGGCGTTGCGCTCTCGCGTTTTCATGCACGGATCACTTGGTCGTCGTGTTATGTTTTTAGCTCAGCGTCGTTCGATTTTCACGTGAAATTTAATAATAATTTTTAGCCCCTTTGACCTTAATTTTAGATTTTCAGTTTGAACAATTGGTCGGTTTTGGGTGGTACTTATTTTCCGTCATGTTTTTTTTTTGTTCTTTCCATATACCCACAGAGATGTTAGTTGCCCAAGAGCCTACGAACTGAGGCTATTGTCTCGTTTCAGGCCATACATTGATTGTGCATATCCAAAATTGCAAGAACAGCCACATTTTTTAACAACAGTATTAAAATATTCCATACTTATTTCTCTTGACTTCAGTTACCTTATGTTCTTCCTGAGCTAACCCATAACCTTCTAACCTAATGCCATCAAAGTAAATTTTGAACTTTGCTTTGCGTGCATTGTACTGTCAGATTCTCATCGTATTCCACGTGAGAATCCGCGACTAAGGACTGATAAACGAATTTCAAGTGATGGCAATCACTGACGCAGTCTGCATGCGTCTTTTTCTTTCTTGCTTCAGCAGGCTTTATAATTTGTCTGTTATGTCGTTACGTATTTCGAACTAAACCAACGGAATTCATTTGTAAACTTGAACACCCTATTTTGCCTCGTAATACTTCCACCTTTTGCCACCTTAATATTTCCCACCACCTTAATATTTTGCCACCTTAATACTTCCCAACTTGTGATGCGCGTCAGAGGTTTATTGGTATAGGACAGGTTCTGTAGGCACTTTTTTTCGTTGCTTACTTCTCTGGTTTTTGCCAATTGTTTGTCGATACTTGAATTCAATCTGCTTGAGTGTTAATATAAATTTCCTTAACCCGGCCTTACATATGAAATACTCCCCGCCCTTTTCCTACAACATCTGGCTGCTTGGCGTGAAATACAAAACAGGAAGCTTCTGAGAATCAACCTGTACTTCGGTCATTTCTCTCGTCCATGGCGTCTCTCCTTGCTTGCAGTCTCTTCAAGTAAGAGTTGACTGCCTCTCTTGATTGCGATGTCGAGGCTTCGTTGATAAAATCACTACTGACTCCACATATGAATCATACGACGATGAACGTCTGTGGGGGGAAGCTGTCCAACTGTTGACAGTATCGATGTAAAATTGTGCCGTCGTGCGAGTGACGAATCGCCCAAGGGTGCTGGAGTTTGACGTCGAGTTTGACGGTGATTTATGCCTGAAATATTTTCTGAAGTCCCGAATATTGCATGAGTTTCTCCGCTCAAACGGAAGTCGAAAATGTTGTAATACTGTCTCTTAACAGAATATTTTGTTTTAAATTGCGGCATTGAGGAAAGTGAAATTTGTTGAAATTAGTTGAATTACAATGAATAGTGTTTTTTTCTTGAAAATAACTAAAATTGTATGTTTGACTGAGATAATGTTGATATTTAATCTGCATAATTTTCGTTAACCAATCGTTTCGGTTGGTTGAAGTTTTGTTCAAAAATGTCTAAAAAACTATCACTGAATAATCCAAATACAAATCGATTACATAAATTCTCATATCAGAATTGTATTTATTTTATATTTTAATTCTTTAGTTTGGTAGCTGCCCAATTGGTTTTAGTCACATGAATTTTATGGCGAACAATTAATATAGGTACTTCTCACCTCCGTTCTGTCAAACGTGCAAAGAGTGATTGCGTTTATTCGGGGCTCGAGTGTGTAAACGAGAATGATTACGTTTATTTGGGCGTGATTGTGTAAACGCTTTATTAGCTGCAAATGTCACAAGATACCCAAATTCCATGTACAATTTGATATAAGATCGCCCAATGGAAAATCAATTTTCGATCTAATTGAAATCGACTGCGAATTCCGTCACTGAACTGCAGTGGTTCGATTGTTGCGTACGCGTGTTCGCGCTCCCGAGTTGAGCGTAAAGTTCCCTCCGTCTCTGCGAACAATGCCCGCCAGGTTGTTCACTGTAACCAGTGCAGTGCTGCCTCGTGACCTTTCGGCGGTGTCGCATATATTTTGTTCCGGCCAGCCCGACTTGGTCCTAGCGAGCGAACGTCTATGTTAATAGTTTATGTTTATAGAAACCAGATAGTAATAATATTTTAATCGAAACCACGAGATGTTTTCTCTTATACACCAGCCACTTTCTCGGTGCCTAAACGACGCATTGACCGCCCAATTCTCCGCTGCATAATAATCAACAGAAAAAGTTGCGCGTATGACTCATCTTTAATATTCTCCATCCGCCAGTATGAATCATTTAATTTCAGGTATACGGCTAACTCGTAACGTTCGACGTAGAAATTGATCAGATCTATGGAACCAAGCTAATGTTCGAAGTCCAACATCCACTCTAACGGCTATGCATTGATGGCTACGGCTATGCATTTATGACTCTCACGGTTGTGCATTGATACTCAGATCGAAGGGTCCAAACATAGTGCCCACCTAACCGTCCTGAGGAACATCGCGTGTTTTCCCAAGCTCTTGACCAGATCAGCTATTTGCTTATTCGTCCTCATTCTAGAAAAATGATGCACGTGCTCTTGCGACCTGGTGCTTGTGTTTACTAAACTCTTCCTTGTTGTCAGCATTCCTGAATATGCACAGTTCTTGCTGCCTGCATCATCAGCTTTGTGCTATGTAGCACTCGGTCCTGCATAGCTCACACTTCTTACTGCGCACTGTCATCAACATTGTGATCATGTCGCATGCAGAAACAATCTTAACTATTAGTCTGAATCATCGGAAGCAATTAATTATTTAATTATTCCCGAATGATTTCTGTGATATTCATATACATTATTTTTATGAATTTTCGGAGTATTAACATACACATTGCAGATCAATGTAGTGTTCGTGTATTAATGTCGTTAGAGTTTTCAGGAATTATTTGCCAACGCTGACTAGATTTGTAAC